AACACGCTCTCTCTCCCCTCTCTTACAACACTCTCACAACACTCTCACAACACGCTCTCTCTCCCCTCTCTTACAACACTCTCACAACACTCTCACAACACGCTCTCTCTCCCCTCTCTTACAACACTCTCACTTACAACTGGAACGGCTGCTATAAGCAATGCATAAGCAAGCCTAGGAGGAAAAGCTCAGTGTTACATCCTCAAGCGGCATTGAAGACCTCGAGGAGACGGAGGAGCTTACAATACACTGTCTCACTCACAACACTCCCCCCTCTCTCACAACACTCTCCCCTCTCTCACAACACACACACTCTCTCTTACAATACACAGTCTCTCTTACACACACACACAATGCTTATCCTCATGTTGAACTCTTAAGCTCACAGGGGCGAAGTCGAGAGAAGGAACCCCGTTGTCCGTTCAAATACTGAAAACGTTGTGATAGAAGAAAGAATAGAATTAGGTCTCAGCCCCGACCTGAGCGCAACCCCGATAGTGAACGTATCGTTCAAATATATCACAGGTCGATCCTGTAGCATGAGCCGAGTCTTTACAATGCTATCGATACTTGTTTCTTCCATTGTCTTCCAATCAAGCCTGACTTCGAGACCATGCATATGAGTCTTGAAGGCGGTCCAGGAACGTAAATAGGTTCTGATTCATTTCCCCGTAGTTGTTCCTTCGTAGATCCTGTGCCTGTTGGACAAAGCGATGTTGCGTGAGAGTAGGTAGTTCGTCCGCTGATGCTTCTATCAATGCCTCAATAACTTCATTATTGAACTCCATGTGGCATTGAAACCCGTACACCAGACTCGTGTATTCGACTATTTGTCGCGGACATCCCAAGCTTGAGGCGATTATTTTGGCGTCGGGTGTGAGACCGGGCATGTCACTATGCCAATGACCGACTTGCAAGCTGGGGCCAAAGTGTTTGAACTTGTCACTTATTTGTCCAGCTTCGGTGAGTGTAATGGGGAAACTGCCGATTTCTCTCTCCGGGCTTTCCTCCCAGGACGCACCCAACGACTCGCCCACAAGCTGTGCACCCAGGCATATACCGATCACAGCTTTGCCGCCAGCAATACACTTCATGATCATATCTTGTTCGGCCACGGCGTCAAAATGTGGGCACTCTTCCTTGGTCGTAGACGGTCTTTGAGGGCCTCCCAGTACGATCAATAGATCAATAGAACTGATACACTCTGGCAGGGTGTCTCCAAGATAAAGTCGGGTATAGGAGATATTGTGTCCTCGATCTTTTGCCCAAGTCTCATACGCCCCGGGTGCCTCGAAGGACTCGTGGACAACAAAATGAACCGAGATCATTGTGGGTCTCAAAATTCGCAATAGTGTTGGAAAAGTGCGGTAGTGTTTCGAAGATGAGCAAACATTCCACTTAAGTACGAAGCCCGTATCCCGTCCTTCCGACTTTCACACTCTAGCTTCCGACGTTTCTAAGCTGTTTGCATAGGGTATATCGGTTTCTTTGAGTATGTACTGTTTGTCATTGGCTGAGCCAGCTTCATTTCATGGGTTATTGCGGATTAGTGTTCTCACACGAGCCAATGATTGTATGATCCGACGGCCCATTAACTGACCACCGAATCAAGACGGCCTTCCATACCGGAAAGGTAAACGAATCAAAGACCGGTCCGACCTGATTCCTCATCATCCGCTGGTAGATGCGTACAATATCGTGGTGTGGGTCTATTAAGATGTGGAACAGAATGTCGCAATGTTAGTCTTTTCGGACTTCATTCTTCATCAATCAGTCAAGGGTTAGTTCAGATTTCCCTCGTTTCTTCCTATGTTCATAGGACTAGAAGCCAAAGCACAGTCGAATGCGGAGGTGGAGCCGAGCCGAAATGCGTGCAAAGCTACGAACTGCATTGGCATTCTCGCGAATTATTACATCTCGCTGCATGTTAATATCGTGACGGCGATCACCGGCCTCTCATCTTCTGAATGATCATCGACGAAATCTTTGTTGAGGGCAGATCAGCAGGGCGTTGTTGCACGGCTTGGGGGAGTGGAACATGGGCTGGCTAGCTTTAGGGCTGAAGAAACCGACAAACGAAAACGACAATCCTACAAACATTTCCACAAAGCGAGGATGAAACAGCGGCTTAATGCATGGAGATGCATGCGAGAAATGACCGACTGCCGCTCGCTTGTTGCCTTGTCCCATTCGTCTCTGCTGACAGGCCTGCAAATTTACCCAAAACATTGTTCAAGTTCTTTGGCTTTTTGTGCTCGAGTTTGGTAGTTGGCGAAGGGGATCTGCCGAACAGCAATTCTGCACTTTGTATTATTTTTCGTGAACAGCTGTCTGTGGCATTTTAGCTGTCGCAATCCTTAGTACAGGTCCCGCGATACTGTTGGAGGATCTGGTACAAACGCTGAGCGTTCCTGGACCCAAGCTCGTAAATTTGCCCGGTCGCATTTCTGTTTAATGAACAAGGAAATGAGACTTGATCAATGTAACTTTTCCTGGACTCCATCGCACTATCTCCTCATACTTCACCGGTCACGATGAATGGGCTTGATGTGAGTGCATTCTCATGCGCGGCGGAATCCTACGCAGCCTTCGATCCTTTCTCGGACACTCTTACCTACCTTTGGCTTGTCTTGCTTATGTCGGACACCCCCGGTCCATACTTTGATCCACCAAATTCGAGACCTGCGTTTGAGTGAGGCACAGCGTGGTGGCATTGAGATCACCGTTTGCTCATCTAGGCGTTGCCTTTCATACCATTCCTCCCGGTCCTACATTAGTGGCTATCACTCATTCTATAGCATGACCCATTTAGGATGCGTGATGTGTGCCCCATTCTACATGCATTGCCCTCTCCGCATGAAGGGATCCGATTCGCTCCATAACGGGTGTGCGGTCACGATGAGAAGATACAAAAGGTATTCATCTCCTTCTCAACTAGTTCTTACATCTTCTCTCAAACAAGTCCCCAATCATTCATTCGTTGACTCTTTGGCCATCATTTGCAAAGACCCAAGTCGATCTTTCTTCATAGCTCTGGAGCTATTTGTTACATATCCACTCACTACCACGATACAAACTACGAAACACACAGTTCTGGAAACTGATATCCCCAATACACATTACCTTCACGCATATCATCATGTCCAAAATCTTTGCTACCGTTGGCGTTTTCGCGGCGCTCTTCTCACAAGCCGCCACCCATACTGCCGTCATAGAGTTCGAAGCGAATGGGAACAAATATCCAGGATTCCGTCAAGCGTCAAAGATGGATCCCGGCAACAACTCACCTGCGTGGTGGACTGCCCAGGGATGGGGATGGGATCCTGTCATGGGTGCCAATATATCACACCCTGACATCATAGCGCATACAGACGCTGACCCTTCTCCTCATACCGTTGATGTATCCGCTGGATCTCAAGTCAAATTCACTTGGTTTCACGAGGGTGAATGTGACGGGAAAAAGAATGAAACGGGCTGGGATTGCAGCCACCACGGCTGGACCACAACTTGGATGGCGCCTTGTGATAGCGACCGCACGAAGATCAAAAAGACAGAGTTGAAGTTCTTCAAGATCCATGAGGTGGCCTTGATTGATTACCGTGAAGGTCGCTACTCCAACGCCACGAACGATAGAGAGAATGTCGGCTATTGGGGCACGGATGACATCTTCTACAAGAACAATAACACGCAGACCGTCACTATCCCCAAGGACATCCCTGACGGCGACTATGTTCTCCGCACCGAGGTCACATCCATTCACAACAATGGGCCTCTCGAGGAGCGTCAATTTTGGCCACAGGCATTCAATATCAAGATAACCGGTGGTAAACCAGACGCGCAGATTCCGGATGGCATCGTGGCTACTGAGATTTACTCCAAAGATGATGAGCTTCTCAAGTGGGATCTCTACCAGCATGACGCTGGTAAGACTTTCGACAAAGCTCCTGGTCCTGAGCTTGCCTCTGTTGCCAAGGCGAGTAGCAATGAACGTCGCCGTGCCCTGAAGTTCCTTGCCTAGTCTCTTCTAAGAGATGATCAATATCAAATGGATGGCGGTACGGATTGGACATTCGGATCCGAAGGACTAAAGAGCATAGGGCATTCTTATGATTGGTTTTCCGACCTTTTTCGAACGAAACAACGGAAGAGAGAGGCACTGTTGATGATACTTGGGATATTTCATAAAGTTTCTCTTAGCATCACCAACCAAATAATAGTATTCTTACTCCCAAAGCTTGTGAACTGATGTAGGTGATGAACGTGCCTCATTACACTTTCTCTGATTTATCCAGCGTTGGAACTGTGGCGTTAAATAAATGAAGGATGAAGGAATTCGGGCATTGCGAGAATGTTTGCTGAGGCGTTTTGTCCGACACCAAGAAATCCTTCCACCCGCACCATCGGACTCTCCTCGTTCTTCGCACAGGTTTTTACAGACTGCGACGTGAACATGAATGCATCATTTTACCTTAAATAAGGATTACGCTACTGGAGACACTGCTCTGAATGATCGAGTTCGGAGTTGATGCATTGCACCACTTCAACGTGTAATTGTTACCTGTAGATTCTGCAAAAGCATGCGGAGAACCTCGGATCACATTCGGCGAATCTGTGACCGATAGCCACGCCACAATATTGGAGTTCTGTTTGAATCTGTGGTCGAGTTGCGAGGTGTGTGTTGTGAGGAAGTATACGTGTGTACAAGAAGAATACGTTCACACGAGCATACGAATACACAAGCATAAATTTGTGCTACCTAAAGCCTGAAATCTTGGTAAGTTATCCGCTAAATAACTACCGCATGATCTGGGACAAAAGGCCAACTCCTAGGTTCTATTCAGCTTAGCATTTATCGACTGCCGGACTAATTTGTTTGGATTCGCTCCTTGACCAACCCAATGGCCGACACGATTCTGTACGACATTTTTTCACGGATCGTAAAGTATACTTATTACTATAGTAGGAATTTTATTTTACCTAAATTAACTTTGCAAGGAGATTAGGATTAGACTTTCCGTAGCACGCAATTGCCATGGATCTTTGATTGTACGGGCTATTTCGACCTCAGAACAAGATTTCTGCAGCTGAAGTGTTCAGCCAGAGCATATCGTCGATGTCTAGATTCAGAACATCCAAGTCCATGGTTGGTCCAAGGCCGCCGTTAGTGAATATGCTTGAGTCCTGTCCCTCGCTAGGAAAAATGGGCTCAGACATCCCCCCGCTGTTCGCTTCAGCTGGCACTCTGGACGGGCCGCAACAACCTTGAATCTTTGATAGTAGGATTTCTAAGGCCACTACACAGCGTTTGGCAGATTCTCCAACCTTGGAGTACGCCTTGAGTAATTGGATTGCCTGGTTCCAGGTTGGCTCCGCTGCCCATGGCTCCACGATAGAATCATTCGAAACGAGCTGACTGAGACGCTCAGCAAGGAGCACTGTTGCAGCTGTATATACGACTAGGATGGCGGGTTAGTCATAGAGAAAAGATATGAAATAGGTTTGAACCATACACAAGACTGCAAACCACCAAGCCGGGACAGGACCGGTCACCGTTTCTAGGTCCAAGTTCGAATAAATGATTCGAATGATCTCGTGAGCAGATTCGAAGCAAATCTTTGAACAATGGCCGATTAGGTTGTCGGAAAGAAACTGATCTTTTGATGCAGAGTGGCGACTGTCGTCGGACTTCACCTGCTTCAAGCAAGATTCTGTGAGTATTGGGCGGAGGACAACGATTCGAGCATGAAGATATCTGAAACTCGATCAAGTTAATAGTTGACAAGATACAAAAATTCCATTCACTGACCGGGAGCGGAGGACGATTCGTTGCCTCTGAAGGGCGAAGCTCGCATTGATTGAAGAGGGGTATTGGAGACCTTCTGGCATTGAACGCACCCAATGCAGTAGCCTTTCATCAAACTGAAGAACAGAAGTGATTTGTTCCACACTCTGTCCAGCTTTTTCTGGCAGTTGCATATAGAGCTCAAGAAGACAGTCGTTCACTATGCTGTACAGTTGCACAGACTTGACGAAGAAAGCAATCGTTGGCGTACCACCATCTGGGCGCACATCTGATGGATCACTTTGGGAATCCAAGAAGTCATCATCGATCATGACGGGGAGCGGCACGGCATCATAGAGCCAGTTTGCAATCATGCTCGGTCTTCCAAACGTCATGGACATAACCCGGTCCATAAAGACGCATCCATGCCACGTTCTACGTAGCATTTCCCTGTCCCGGATATTTTGTGCTGAGGTCGTCGTTCCAGACAAGTGTAGCCCTAGGCTTTGTGCCATACGAACAGCGGAGCCAACAACCATCCAACACTGGTGGGATTGATGAGTACCCTGTAGAAACAGGCCCATCAGCAGTAGACATTGCAGTCCTTGTAAAGAAGCTCTCTGTTGGATTCTAGGGTCGAATAATGCAAGGGCTCTTTCCCAGAATGTTTGGCCGAGCTTTCTTCTTTTGTCCGGCTGAACGGCCTGGGAAAATTGAGTGCCCAGCGCGAGCGCCATGTTGATCATGCAGTACAGAGGCTTGAGGGGTATGCTGGTCTCGGAACCAACCCAGACGGCATCATAGTCCCGTTTGAAGGCTGCCCAGTCGTGTATGGGGAGGATGACCCATACTAAGTCGTAGTATTCCTGTAAAAGACGATCTGAGAAGGTTCTAAGGGGAAGGACAAACGCTAGATGGTTCATGTAGTCTGAATTTGACGTTGTTGCAGCCTCTTGGTTGGCACTCGCCTCAACGCTATCTTCATCAGCAATCTCTATGGATGAGTGTGTCTGGTTTTGCCCGAGACGTGAATCAACAGCCGAATTGATTTGAGCCGCGAAAGAAGCAGCACTGCTACCACCGAAGAATTCCACGCTCGCCAGAGGGTCCTTGCCAACGCCTGTCATGGCGTCGGCACTCTGCGGTGCATGGTCATCAATTTGTTCAGGGAGCAGAGCGTCGGCCGTGATCGGCAAGGTAGACGCGGTGCCGGGTGAAGCGTCAGCCATCATAAAAGATGGTGAACAGGCAGGTGCTTGTGTGGATCGTGGCCGATCCACCGAGTCGGAATTCGCAGATCGAGACAAAAGCATTGGCGACCTTTCAGCGACATCACCTCCATACCTCCCCTGGGGATGCTGAGGGTGTTGCTGCAGCAGGGGGTACTGTCTTCTTCGAGGCGATTTGACTCTACTGCTATAGTTACATTGCAACTCTCCCCGAATGATACACGGACGGCAGGCTGTATAGTGAACTCAAGTCAGTAAGATGGTACTGGCTATGTTATGCTTTGGCGTGATGAATACCGGGCTTTTGTGCATCGCATTTGACCTTTCGCCGCCGACAGCTGTCACATGCTGCGCTAACTTTCTGTCGTGGCATCGACGTGGACGCAAAACGGAATGAAAGCTACGAGTACCTCGTACTGTGTATGAGCACAACACTGTGGGATGGCCCCCGGTGGATGGGATGGCACGGCACCTGCCCTTGTTTAAATACGCACTAATTAGTTAGTGGCCCAGGGCGAGGCGTGGCGGGCTGGCGGGCGGGGGGGGGGGGTTTGCTTCTGAGCGAATAGATACATAGCTTACATGAATGTTACACAGTACATACTAATGGAGTCACTCTGACATGAAACAAGGTCATCATCTCTTCCACTCCTTCCGGAACCTCGAGTGTGTGGATATCTCCTGGAGTCTCGAACGCATAGCTCCCTGTGGTGGCCCACCATGGATGTTCGAGGTAATGCCACTTCCCGCGAAGGGTTATTGCATGCACAGGACCGGCATGGCGGTGTCGGGATAAAATGCCACTCCGCCGAACGCGCAGAATGTTGACGAAAAGGCCATTGCTTGTACTGAAGAAGAGGGGACGGAACCAGACTCCTGGGGCTTGAGGCACCCACAGCCTCTCATCCGTGTTGTCGAGATCGAGGATGTTCGGGAGAACGAGATCGGGTAGAGTGAATGGGAGAGGTGGTCCCCGATAGGCTACGGCGACTTGATCAGGTCGAAGTTTAGACCTTCCATTTTCTTCCTCAAGCTGGCTGATGATAGAGGCTGTACTTTCGAGGGTTGGCATTTTCAATAAGTGAAACTTGGAAGTATGAGAAGGATATTGCTAAAACTTGGAAATTGGAAATTCAAGCAAGTTTTGTGAAGAAGAAGTGACTTAGCGTTAGGATTTCAAGAGTGATAAGATGACAATGCTTCGAAATATATACTGCTTTGCATGAAAAGTTTATCATGTTATACCATACCATCATCACTTCGTGTGGGAATGGTGAACTGATCAACCAGCCAGTCTTGATTGGTTGGCGTCGCTAGCGCTAACGGCGCTAACGGCGGTGGTCGCATATCTCCTAGAGAGCGGAGACGCCAAAGTGTGGAGAAGGCAATTCGAACTGTTATCTAGCGTGAGCTTTTCCGACAATGCTACTTACAAAAGCATTAGATTGCTTTGCTGAATTGTCATGGAGTTGTCTTTTTGTTCTCGAGCATTTCATCTTTTGACAATTGGTCTTCTCCCAATCTTTCATTCGCAAAATGGCACATCCTTTTGTTACAGAGTCCAACATCCTCCACCGTGATATGAGATGTGAGCATTTGAAGGTTGTCTCTGGAGAAGGGATTCGGTACCATTTAGGGTCTGGCAAAAGTATCAGTGATGCTACATGTGGCCCTTCCGTTTCCATACTCGGTCATGGTAATCAAGAGGTCACCGATGCTATCATTGCACAACTGGGAACGATCCAGTACGTTTATTCCGGTGCACCGTTGACAAGCGAACCCTCCGAAGCATTGGCAAAGTTTCTTTTGGAAGACAGACCTGGAGGCCTTTCCAAAGGAATATTTGTCAATTCAGGCAGCGAGGCCACTGATGCTGCGCTCAAGCTCGTAACCCAGTACTGGCATGAGATCGGCGAGCCCAATAGGAAGTTCATTATCTCGAGAAAGCAAAGTTATCATGGAAACAGCATTGGCTCGTTATGTGTGTCTGTCCACGAATCGCGACGACTGGGTTTCGGACAATGTAGCATTTGTCGACCCTTGCTACTCCTTCCGGGCGAAGAAAAATGGCGAATCAGACGCGGCCTATGTCGAAAGATTGCGACAACAACTTGAGGATACCTTCCAGCGTCTGGGGCCAAACAACGTAGCTGCATTCATGGCAGAGCCCCAAAGCGGGACCACCCTCGGCTGCGTAACGGCGACACCTGGATATTTCAAGATGGTCCGAGATATCTGTGACAAGTATGGAGCTCTTTTAGTGCTGGATGAGGTACGTTCATCTCCTACCGCGGCTTTCTATCAATTACTGATTGGGTGTCCCCTCCGTAGATTATATGTGGCATGGGCAAGACAGGAACTATGCACGCCTGGGAACAGGAGGGCATCCGCGGCCCCGACGTCCAAACAATCGGAAAAGTATTGGGCGCTGGATTCGTCCCCTTGTCAGGCGTTCTCGTACACGAGAGAGTCTTCCAAGCGTTGGTCGGAGGTTCAAAAGCATTGTTGCACGGGCATACTTTCCAAGCACATCCACTCGCATGTGCCGCGGCACTGGCGGTGCAAAAGATTGTTCGAAGAGACAACCTCTTGGAAAATGTATGCGAACAGGGACTCATCCTTGAAAAGCAATTACGAGAGCGCATCGCTCCTTTGCCGTACGTGGCAGATATTAGGGGGCGAGGTTTGTTTTGGGGTGTTGAACTGATGCGCGATCCTCAATCAAAAGAGCCGTTCGATCGGTCAGATAATTTCTGCGGAAAAGTAGTCGATGTTGCGATGGATTTGGGTCTCAACCTTTTAGGAAGTTTGGGGCATAGCGGCGAACTGCAAGTGGATCATGTCATCGTTGCGCCTCCATATATTGTGGAGGAGGCTGACGTTGTGGAGATTGTAGGATTGCTACACGAGGCGATAAGTCGTGTGGGTGCTGAGTACAGTCGGGCGCAGAGGGAGAGGCGCAAATCATTATTGTAGATGGAGATCATATAGTACATCGATGAATGTCATAAAAATTACCTCGTACACGTTCATTATCCTATCTCGCAGATCAGTCGTGGTGTGAAGTGAAGTTGTGAGTTGGTCACTAGTTAGGCACCGCATAGTACAAAGTAACCTCTAATACGAGTAGTTGACCGAACTCGGCAACGGCCGACTTGCTGATAAAGGAGAAGATTATGGACGCCGCTATTTACTGCATCATCGCCCGCTGTTGCCGCCCATCTCCTCCCCTCACTTCTCCCTGTTGTTATCACATTTGAATCTTCCCAATTGGATAGCAAGCCATGTCAGCGTCCCAGCCGAAGAAGTCCGTGTGGCGTTCTGAGAGGCTTATTCCGGTGTCCAAGTTTCTTGGTGTGAAAGCCTTTGCATGGAGGACCAAAGGTCCTGCCAATCAACGCTCCAACTGACGCGTTCAGTGGGAGGCCTCGCCATTCCAGTGACCAACTTTTTTTCCTGATCGAGTAGGTTCTTGGATTTCCATTGAAAGCCTTTGCATATGAAGGACGAAGTCTGTGTGACGTTCAGCAGCAGGCTTTGCCATTCTAGTGTCTAGGTTTCCTGATCGAGTAGGTTTTCGAATTGCCGTTGAAACCTCTTGATTATGTCTTGCATATAAAGGACCAATAGTTCTGCTAATCAACATTCATCAACGTTCCAACTAATGAAGTCCGTGTAGTATTTAGCAGGAGGCTTTGCCATTCCAGTGCCTAAGTTTCCTGATTGAGTAGGTTTTCGAATATCCGTTGAAACCTTTCGATTATGTCTTGCACATGAAGGACCGGTGGCTCTGCCAATCAACGTTAATCAACTTTCTGATCGATGAAGTCTGTGTGACGTTCAGAAGCAGGCTTCACCATTCCAGTAAGCAACTTTCCTGATCGAGTAGGTTTTCGAATTGCCGTTGAAACCTTTCGATTATGTCTTGCATATGAAGGACCAGTGGTCCTGCCAATCATCGTTAATCATTGTTTCGACCGATGAAGTCCGTGTGGTATTCAGCAAGAGGCTTCGCCATTCCAGTGTCTAGGTTTCCTGATCGAGTAGGTTTTCTAATTTCCGTTGAATCCTTGCGGATGAGTGACCCTGCCAATCAACGTTCAACCGATGAAGTCCGTGTGGCGTTCAGTATGAGGCTTCGCACATTCCAGACACCATACACCAACCATTCCCTACAGCCTACCTTTCTGTTCAAAGTAACTCCAAGTTTCCTGATCGAGCAGTTTTTCGAATTTCCGTTGAAACCTTTTGGTTATGTCTTGCATATGAAGGACCAGTGACCCTGCCAATCAATGCCAATCAACGCGAATTAACGTTCCAACCGACAAAGTCCGTGTAGTGCGCAGGAAGGGACTTCTAATTTGCCTGGGAGAGAAGAAGAGCGCCTATCACGTCCTACAGCCATTCGACAGTCCAAGTTCCCTAATCGAGTAGGTTTTCGAGTTTCCATTGAATCCTTTTGCATATGAAGGACCAGCGACCTTGTCAATATTAACGGTCATTTCAGTCCAAGTTTCCTGATCGAGTAGGTTTTCATGTTTCCGTCGAAACCTTTTGCATATGAAGGACCAGCGACATTGCCAATCAACGTTCAACCGATGAAGTCCGTGTGGCGTTCAGTGGGAGGCTTTCTGATTTGCTCGACAGGTCTGGGCGAGAAAGGAGTACGTCCTCCAACAGCCCAATTCCAGTCCAACTTGCCTAACCGAGCAGGCTTTCGAATTCCAGTGGAAAGCCTCTGCATATGAAGGACCAGCAACCCTGAACTGATTCGCTGCGGATGCATTTGGTTCCAATATCGGATTAGCGTGAGGGACGTTGCGCGGACTTCCTCGGGGGGGCCAAAGTCCAACTTGCCTAATCCAGTAGGTTTTCGAATTTCCGTTGAAGGCACAAGGGCCAGCGGCCCTGCCAATCAACGTCCCGGCCGAAGAAGTCCGTGTGGCGTTCCGTGTGGCGTTCAGTAGGAGCATTCTGATTTGCTCGACAGGTCTAAGGGAGAGGGAAAGGAGAGTGCCTTTGAACCTCTCGGTCGGTCGGGGGAAGTGGCAGGTAGCTGAATGCCCGCCCTCTGCATGCCTTGATGAGAACAGCCCGGCTGTCTTGTGAGCATTCACGAGCCCTCTCACTGCCCCCTAGGCGTCTATGCTACAAATTTTGTGAGCAATAATGGAATGTCTATGTCATGAGTGTCTGTCCGTTCATTTAGACTTCTTTGTGAATGCTTTGTAGGTGTAGAGTAGGCTGTTTTGTGCTGCTGTTATCTGCCACTTCCCCGATCGACCGAGAGACAACGCTGGTCCTTCATAAGTCATTCCAGTCCAGGTTTCCTATTCGAGTAGGTTTTTGAAAAATCCGTTGAACGCTTCCGGATGAGCTACCCTGCCAATCAACGTCACAGCCGATGAAGTCCGTGTGTAAAGTTCAAGGAGCTCCCACAACGCCGCGATTCGTCCTGCCGTGTGGTTCGATTTCAAGATGGTCAGAAATTCAGCCTGGTCTGGTTGTCTCTTGAGATGGAGAAGAACCAACTCCTATTGCATCTAAGCAATAACTATTTATCTGTACAAATGCACATAAATAGACAGATGTTAGACATAGTGGTGGTACGTGATGAATGCACACCATTGCTGTATTTGAAGAGTTGAAATGTCAACATTTACGAGGCCAACAATGGCCGTATAAGCAGAGTTTGTTTTTCCTTCAGGGTTGGGGCCAGTGTGTGAAAGTGCCCCGAGATTGAAATGAGAGCGCCACCCAATGGCCATATTCTTTCCTTTTTCCGTCAACTCCGTCGAGTACAAGTATTGGTACATATCGTTATTTTACATGATCCTCCATGTCAAGGAATGGTTGTCGTAACGCCGATTTAATCCAGGTCATTCATCAAATCTATGCTCTTTCTCCTGCCTTTGCGGCCTCCGCTCCCTCTTATTTTTCGGTCTTGCGTATACCTTCCGTTCCCCCTCGCTTTCATCTCTGGGTCCGGGGTGCTGCCGGCCTCGATATCGAAGACCACCTTCTTGGGTGCCTTAATCCTGCGGCCCTTCTTGTCGAACTCGTCCCTAGGCCTGCCTAGCCGAACGTTCCTCGGTGTCCTAGTTTTGGCTCCCAGGGCCCAGAGATCCCCCCACCGAGCCTTGCGTGCATCGCGGAAGGCTTGCTTGGAGAAGCTTCTGGGAACGGTCCAGCGTTCGAGTTTGGCGTCGGGGGTGCATACGTCAAAGGTAATGTGACCTCGGCGCTTGAGTGCCGGTAGTATGAGGCGAGGCAGAGAGAGAGTATTGACATCGGCCGCCGTGCGTAGCTCATCTTCGCCGTTCCATTCATGGCCCTCAAATGCGCGGGTAGCGGTCTCTGCGTCCTGCTGGACGCCTTTACCTAAAGGATCGTACAATGGAAGGCGTTGATCTCGTCCTCGTTGGACGGCGAGATAGCTGAATTGTATGTCCTCATGGTTACGGTCCTTCGCATTCAGAATGCGCTGGAGGAATGGCGGACGGATGTAGCGCTGGTTGAAGTAACAGAAGTCCTTGCGACCATGACTAATGCCTGGGGACTGATACATTGGGCAGGTGCTGTGGTTTGTGCAAGGAGCGATGATCATGCCTGTCTCCTTCTTCGAGAACCTACTTTCCTCGTTCGGCTTGGATACTTGTTCCTCAACGGGGACTTCGACTTCCGTGGATCCAGGGGAGGCAATGTGTTTATCGAGCAATAGCTGGCGAGCACCAGCCACAACCTCAAACCCCCGCGGAAGACCCTTTTCTATGAGTATCAAAACACCTCCCTTTGGATTCAACAAAGACCAATACTTCTCTGTCTGCTCTTTGCGGAGGTGTTCCTGGTTCAGTGGCCATAATGTGTGCGGGGCGATGATAAGGTCGTACACTTTTCGGGGTTGCTGAGAGTTTGTCGCATCTTCCTCTGTGATGGCGTCCGGTAGGCGGGGTATGAATGTGGTGTTCTCCAGTAGTCGGCTCGCACGATGGCGCAGGGTGTCGGCACCGACAAGAACAGTGGCCTTTCCAAGCGGAGCAGACCCGTGGGAGGATGCGCCAGACTCCTCATGCATTCGTGCCCATTCGGCTTTGAGAACCTGGTGCCATGCCAGGATGCCGGCACCGCCTGCCCCAGCATCCAATACTACTGGCCCCGTCTTCCTGTTGAGTAACCTCTCGATCCATGACGACCCAAGCCTTCGCCTCACCTCCACCAGTGTACCCATAACCGCTGCATATGTTCCTGGCATGACCGCTGCTAGGTATGCGTCCGCCTCGATATTCCCCATGTCTCCCATCGAAGGATCGAGGGTGATTGGCTTTTGTTCTGCCCCTACGCGTGCAGGGAGCGTGGTCGCGGAATGTGGCAGCCCTGGTCCGCCGAATATTCGCTTCACAGATTCAGTAAGATGCTTGTGGTTGGCGCGAGTGAGAAGGGTCGCGACAGGTTCTGTGAAGGTATCTTGGGGTAGGAAAACGGTCGCAGATGACGGCTTCGAGCGACCAGCAATTGTCAATGGGTGGGCACGCATGAAATCGGCATCCTCCTCTTCGTCTGCTTCTCCAATCTCTCCCTCCTGAGCTATCCGACTCTTCTCGTATACATCCTGATGATAATTTTGGGCCTTCACTGCTCTGTATTCCTCCCACTCTGCCTCCGTCATGGCTTCTTCTTCATCCTCTTCCTCCAATGCCTCCGCCTCGGCTAGATCGATCTCATTGTCCTGATTATAAGTCTCGACTTGCTCAAGCTCGCCATGTTCATTTGTCCTAAGCAGAACCAATTTCCCATCTGGCATCTTCGCCTCAAAGACCTCCTGTTGCTCGCCGTCGACTTCTTCCAATTCTTCGATTTGTTCTACAAAAACAGGCGTTCCGTACAGGCGCTCGTATACAGCAAATTCGTCCTCGCTGAGATAATTTCGTGGTAGGGTATCACCAAATAGTTGTCTTGCCCTTCGGGCGGCATCCTCTGGGTTGGCTTCGAGCGCAGAGGTGGGATATTCGGTGGTTTCAGACGTCGGGTACACACCCTCAATCGCTTTTTCCGATTCTGGGACTGTCGAGGAGATCTGGCGATTCTGTGATCGAACGCATGTTTGGGAATTCGCTGCGCTCGTCAATCGAAGGCAGGTGGCTTGTCTTAGACGCTGTCCGTCAGTGAATAGGCCGCGCACATTGCGCAGCTGCGACACTGCGAGGTTGGGCCTGCATGTTGCACAGATGTATGTGGCCCTCCTCACCGCAAGCATCGTAGGTCTGGTAACACGCTGCGTGGTGTTTGAGGATTTGCTGCTTCGAAAAGAAAAGTTGCCGCACCTTCAGCATTGTTCAATGTACGCTAATCCTCTTTCGTACATGGAGATCAACCAATGACGACCAAGACATTATCACGGTTCAATAATCAGTCATTCGAGCGAATTGATGTAATGGATTATACTAGAAGAAAAGGACAATTTGTTATAGGTAAAGTTAAGGAAAGTAAAGGTATGTAGAACACCGTGTTCGTTCCTACGTCTACAAAGGCAGCATGCAATATCTTCGACCTCCGCGGAAGCGGCCCTTGGAAGCCCTCCCCCAGGTAGGTATCCGATCTTGCCTGCAGCTTGCCGATGCATACAGCCGTGCCACCCCAGCTATGCTAAGCTCAATAGCATCTCATCCATACTCTGTTAATTCAATTTGGTAATTCGTCCCCTGATTCAGCTGAAAACCTCCCCACAAGCTGGTAGACCATGCCACGGAGGGGGAAAGTAGGAAAAGGAACGGATACAGGAAAATGCAATATAACACACAAAAAACACAAAGGGGCAGGGGAGGGGGGATTAATGCGATGGTGCCAAAAGCCAGACAAAGGATCAGTGACCATCCTGATGTAGGTCCGGGTGAAGCTGACGTATGACTGCGGGAATTTAGAGGTTTAGGTTGCTATTCGACCAATCCAAGTAAGAAGGATGTTGGCAACTTGTTGACCTGGGAAGCCAGACCAAACAGATGCCGAATAGGACGAATGCAAATGTACCATGCTACCAAAGACGAGTTTGCTGCAAAAAGCAATACATCGAAGAGTTGGAGCAATCCCGGCAGAGAAACCGACAAACTGAAGCCCGTGTACTGATCAGAGGAAACCGACCGCCGTCCAATAAGCCCAGGACGGCGATGCCGCGTTTCCCACATGGAGTGTAAGTGTAGTCGATCTTGAGAAGCGACGCCCACTAAGGAGAGAGTTGAGATGTGCGAATCGAAAACCGTATCATGGATCAGTAGCCTCCTTGGGGATACTGTTGCTCCTTACGCGGACGAAGCTGCCTGAACATTGCAAAAAAAAGGTTAGTTACATCTAGAAACTTTATTCCCCGCGAAAAGCGTTATGATCGAACACTACGACGCAGAGGAAAAGGAGACCTTACGAGATCAGATATGTCGAACTCACATTCCGCTGGCGCCTTCTGGACGCGTGGCGACACGCTTCGTGGTGTTGGTAGGAGCCTGCGCAGCGTTTGTCGTGTCGGGCTTGTCCTTGTCGGCCGCAGCGATGGCCTGGGCATTTTTCTGGTATTTGTAGACAGTCCAGTCGAAGACATAGTCGTACTGGAAGCCCTCACGGACAAACAGATCACGGAAGATCTTGCGCAGGTAGGAGTAGTCGGGTTTGTCGTCGAAGCGGAGCGAGCGGGTGTAGTTCAGATAGATGGCGAACTCGTTCGGGAAGCCTCGGCAAAGTACCTCAGTCGGAGTGGTCATCTTCTTCTCCATGATACGGTCGTATTTCTGCTTCTTGGTGGCAGCCTTCAGTCCTTGCCAGGGAAGGGATCCACGGCAAAAGTAGAGCATGACATATCCAAGGGACTCCATGTCATCACGGCGGGATTGTTCTGTGATTGCTCGTTAGTGACCGCTTTGGCATTTCCAAATGGTAGGTGCAGACTTACCGACGCCCAAGTGTGTATTGATGCTAGCATAACGGGCGGTACCAGTGAGGTTCTTGTTCTCACGGTAAGGGATGTGGAAGTGAGTCTTGGGGTCACGGTACTTCTTTGCCAATCCGAAATCGATCACGTTGACCTGGTTTCCCCGCTTGCCGATGCCCATAAGGAAGTTGTCCGGCTTGATGTCGCGATGGATGAAGGACTTGGCATGGATGTACTCGATGCGGGAGATGAGCTGATCGGCGAGAAGAAGCACCGTCTTCAGGGAAAACTTGCGGTTGCAAAAGTTGAACAGATCCTCCAGGGAAGGGCCAAGGAGATCCAGGACCATGGCATTGTAATCGCACTCGGTTCCGAACCAACGGACGAAGGGGATGCCGACACCGCCAGCGAGAGACTTGTACACGCGAGCCTCATACTCGAGCTGAGGGTGCTTGGCCTTGACGCTCTCAAGCTTGATGGCAATCTCCTCGCCGGAGATGATGTTAGTACCTGCGTCCTGTTGTTAGCTGAGGCAAGAGGTGGGCTGGACGAGTCTGGGTAGGCGTACCAAGGTAGATGTCACCAAAACTACCGCTTCCAATCTTGCGTCCGATGCGGTATTTGTTACCGACACGAAGGTCCTGCCGCTGGTCAGCCTAGTCCGTCCAAAAGATGTACAGATTCCGACGGATCGAAGGAGAGAGGTTATGTGGTGTAGGGTGGGGTGTAATGTACCATTGTCGTCATGACGGGCAGATGTGCAGCCTGTGGGCTGTCTATTCGTCGATGCGAGGGATGTAGGTGATGGAGTTGGCTGCACGATGCAGGATATTTAACGCGTTGGCGGGTTTGCACTTGTTCGGGAGCACTGGTCAGTTTTGAGGCTTTGCCAACGAGGCGGTGAGTAAGCGGAGCGAGTTGGGAGCCAGGCTAAGGAAGTAGAGCGATTGTGCGCGTGTAAGAAGTGAAGGAGAAAAGTGGGAAGACGGAGGATGGCGAGATGGAGGAGGAGGAAGTGGGCGGAGATAAAAATATATAGAGTTGAAGTCGAGATAGAGATAGACTCAGGATGTGCAGATGCAGTTGTAGGTGTAGTTGTCGAAGTCGAGGTGTACTGTGTAGAGTGTGCAGAGAGTGTGCAGGGCGTGGAGAAGCACAGTAGGGCTAGCCAGAGTGGTGGGCCGGGGCCCTGCAGGAGAGAGACTTACAGGGCGTGGATGTAGATGAAGCCCAACGGGTAGCGGCACCGTTGTGTCAGAGAGGATGAGGGGGGGTTGAGAGATGGGAGACGAAGGGTTCGGCGAAAGGAAGACAATAATAAGGGTCTAGATTTGATTGTGATTGGGGCCGGCAACGGAGAAGAAAGAGAAAAAGAGAAGAAAGAGAGAGCTGGAGGGGTTGCTAGATGTGTGTGTTGTGTGTAACCTGCTGGGGGCAAGTGTATCACAGCAGTTGAGCCTCGAATAATGGGAGAAGCAAGACAACTCGATGGAGAGATCGATCGAGAAGAGTAGGAGGAGGAGGAAAAGAGAGAGAAGAGAAGACGGAGAGACGTGAGAGAAGTGAGAGAAGTGAGAGAAGTGAGAAAGAGGAGAAAGGCGAGGAGGCGGCGGAGGAGGTTTGAATAGGGTAATACCTAGGTAAGGTAGGGTACGTAGTTAGGTTACTTGGGTAGGTACGTAGGATAGTAGGTAGGTACTCCGTACACAGTAAGTAGAAGGTAGTAAGGTGTACCTAAGTAGCTACTGCGGTGCAGGTGGGCAGGTAGGTACTGTGTACACTGCATAGTACACTCACAGTACACGGTAGGTATGCACCATGGTACACCAGAGTTGTCAAGGCAAATAATACCTAGAGAGTGAAAGCGAGACACACACACACACACACAATCCAATATACAGTATCTGGTCAATAAGAAGAGAAAAACCGCCTCCCCTTCTCTTTCCACCCAACTAAACAATAATAAAACCAACAAAGCAAAGCAAGCAAAAGGCCTCTTCCATTCCCTTTCTTCTGGTCTGGTACTGTACGGAGTACCTAGACGAGTACCAGGTTACTTTACTGTCTCTGCCCAGTTTCCAGTCTCACTCTCGTGCCAAGCCCCTGACACACGTGATGAGGTCACTACTGTCACTCTGCTCACCCACTACTTCACCATCGAACATACCAAGTAGTAATAATAATATAATGAACATCACAAGAATCAGTCGAGAATGAGATGTTCCGCATAGATTATTCCCATCTTCATTCCCATTTGTATTTGTTACACGTATTCTCGCCTGATCCTTCCCCTAGCATTTTCTTTCCCTAACCCAACTGCTACCCAAAGTTGGCACCCGGCCGGCCCTTGCATGCTTGCTTGCTTGCTTGCTTTTTATTACAAGCATCAGAAGTTACCTACTTTGTACAGTGCAAGCATGATTGATTCCAAGTACGGAGTATATCAGATATCTTCTCAATTACAGCATCCAAATACACTCCATTTAGTCATTCTTTGGTCTCGAACTCTCGAACCCCTCGGCAGCATATCGTTACCGTGTATCTGGTTGACAAATGCCTCATTGCATTCGTTTCAGACAACGCGCCCGCCCTCGGTCAACTGGCCTCATCATGCCGCTCTTCTTTTCCCCCCAGGGAGAATCATAACTCGTAACGACTTGCAATAATAATAGGTACTTTACTTGGATCCTTTATTATGATTGTCACCTGCCCTTTCTTTCATTATAGCCACCCCGCCCCTCCTCCCCTTTCCCCCCCCCTTTATGCGTTATGGATCAGGATCCCCACTCCATGGTTGGGTTCTCTTGTCCTTGTCATGTCAGGTTACGTCGTACGGAGATGCGCACTGCACTGTCCCCCAAGGAGGAATCAACGGATCGGTGTGTTCCAGAAGGTTTGAACGCCCTGGCGCCCCCCATCCGGATCGCACTAGAGTTTTTTCACGCTCGCCGACCGACTGCCGATTACTACTTCAGCACATCTAGTTCTCAATATTGTCTACAACACACACGGCCTGGGCCGATGTCAATGTCTCCAATGCTTCTAGTAACGTCAGCGTTCTTAGCCTGCTACACGGTCAACGACATTCCTGCGAGATAGACATGCGGGATAAACTAACTCTTGAGGGCTGTCCTGCTGTTTCAATCGAGTCGCCATCTAGCCGCGAACATGGCAATTCTCGGATTTATCGTATGTTCGTGATGCAAAATGCTGTGCACCTCCACCATCATGCAACACATTCTTCCTTCTTGGGCAACAATTCCTTAATGCAACTAAAACACAATCAGTATCGATTCAGTGTCCTCTAGATCTGAGCAGATCCAAGATCACGGGAGAGATAAATCCTCCGCTATCATGCCAGCCATACAAAGGCCCAATCCTAGACCAACCCATCTACTGCGCCCCGAATGATCCCCAGCTCCATGACTACAAGAAGAATCCTACGGGACAACAAATGCTTCCTGAATGTTCCTACCTAGAATCTGACGCTTCGACCAGCCGAGACCCTGTCTCACAAGATTGTCTCACATACCTATATAGTATGTACATGCGGAGTACGCATACAGCTATCCATTATCCAGACTCTACCAAGCAATGAAAACATCTAATTTGTCGTTTCACGTTGAACCTTCTCTTGTTTGCAACATCATTCCATGTCTTTCTTATGTTTTAGTTCACTCGCCGCTTCTAGCATTTGGTCTAATTGAATTGCTATGGATTCACGGCTTCTTTATCCATCCAGCTTCCACAAGTAGTTCAAAGAACAACAAAAATAGTAACTGGGCACCAGGCGAGCTTGTTCGAACATTCTAGTCTATAGACACTGAAACCTACTCGAACACTCAAACATTAATATTCATCATTATCAAACCATGCCATCTCTCCCAACAGATGACCGCCTCCTAGACAGGTAATGAGCACCATGTCTGCAACGGGATGTCTGTACTCGGCCAAAGCCGCGATCGGCAGAATATCACTCGTGCTTGTGTGAGTTGTCTCGGGCCCGCTGTCTCTTCCGTATCTGCATTGTCTTGTCCATCCGATACATCTCTCCCCGAGGTAGCACGGTAGTATCACAATTCACAGACCACGAGCATGCCAGGATGAAAAAAAAAAATTCCTCATTGGAACATGTCTCTTCATCAGGCCACTATCGTCACTTTGGACAGCACAAGCTCCGACTACCACCAACTGGTACGCCGGCAATTTGGGGGAACGGGCCGTGCAGTGGGGTATCAGGGTGTGCGACATGGAGTGCACATGGAGTGCACATGAAAGAATGATCCGGGGATTGATGTACTACATTCAGCACCTAGACAAGGTAAGGATAGACACAGTGGTTCTTTCCGTGTACTTCACGCATCGCAGGCCGAGATGTGCGATTCTAACACCTCAGACCACACCAGGTCTCAGGGATTCGTTATATAAATGCGGGTGGGTGAGACATGGGAAGAAAAGGAATTCGAATATAGTCAGTGCAAGTCCTGTCTGATGCCGGGATGTTGGGCGAGTTAAGCCATGGGATTGTGATTCATCTGGAGTTCTATACAGCCCATCTCAAAAGTTCCCCCGGTCCTTGTGCACAGCTATTGTACATTGTCCTTAACATGCCCTTTAGTCGCTGGAATGGTTGAACGTCATGGTAAATCGCATTTAGTGGCCAGCGTTGGGGTCCTTGTTCTTGAGGGCCGGGTTTCGAGGGTCGTTCTTGTACTCGTCGGCTGCAGCGAGACGTCAGTCAATCGATGCAAGATTGCCCGCATCATTTGCGATGGCGGATATGAGACGGTGAAAGATTGGTTACTAACTCGCTGCCAATGTGTTCGCGAAAGCGTTGACGCCGTAGAGGATGACGAGACCTGTTGCGTCCGGTCAGTAGGCACTTCTTCAACTCGGATCATCCCAATTGCATCATCCATGCATTCCAAACCACCGATTCATTCGAGAAGACGTCCGAGATGGATTACGACGTACCGGAGACGTAGAATGGGAGCATGGGCCGGGCTGTAGAGCACAATTGTGTTAGCGATTCAGATCTTCCGCTGGAGCGCAGGGAGCGCAATAGAGGGGCCTCAATTGACATACCGACGGGTGCGCCGAACTTCTTTCCGAGGAGAGGCATGTTTATGTGCGGTCGAGGGACAATGGCTTGATTCGACGTGGTTGGATGGGGGTGATGGAAGGTTGAGCTCTCGTGAAGGTTTCGCAAGGACCCAGTGCCAAGCTCCGGTCCATGTTACCGAAGTGCAGCCGCCCAGCAAAGTCGCGATGGTAAACACCAACAACCCCACCTTCACAGGTTCATAGTACAACCGTGGACGCTGTTTGAGCCATCCGGAATTTCAGCATTGACAACAAAGAGCAAAACAAGTATTGACATAGCTATGGGATCACCATTAGAGGGATGCGTCTCCTCGTTGAGGAATAGTATGCAGCTCCTCGATTCGTCAATAAACATTCTGGACTCCGGTGTGAACGATTTTCCGCGGCTCTGCAAGGTCCTACAGACCACACGAGTAAGTACTTCCTCCAAGTAGTTCGGTGCATGTTCGCCTGATCTGGTCTTCGGGGGAAAGCTAATCTTCTATAGCATTTCGAATTGATATCAGAGCCCGATCTACATGCAGCACAAACCGCTCTCCTGTCCGAGATCCGACCTGAAGTCGAAAACCTCCTCCAACGTGTTTCCAATTACCTCGACAAGCTAGAACGGCGCGAACAATCTTTGATAGCAAAATGTGACCTCAATGAAGGCCGTCTGGGAGGCGATGCCGCAGGCGAATCTGCATTCAGACCAAGCAGCAGAACCAGTCGAGCCAAAACTCCGAGCGGAGAGGGCGGAAGGCGAATGACGGCTTTGCAAGAATTGAAGTACAAGAGTATACGGCAGAAGAAGGAGAGATTGAGCTATGCAGTCGAAACGTTAGAGATGCAGGCGAAGCAGCGGGAACGACAACTCAGGATGAGCATGGCGGCACCGCAACAGTTCCTCGACGATGACGATGACGAATAAGCATGCGGATATGGCCATCGGGATATGAGGGCGATTGACATTGGTAATGGGGCGTTGTGCATTTAAGATACCCACATTTGATCATGAAGAGCGTGATTTTAGAAACGAACTGGGCCAGATCTTTCAAATATCTGTGAATCTACCAATTGTTCTGGTCCTTCAAAACTGCATCGCGATAACTGGATTCATGATTGCCCGACAATCGGTTCCTTATAGCAGTGAGCGATCGGATGCCTCTATGTTCAACCTGGAGAGGACATGTACCTTGCGGAAAATCATGTCTCCAATGGGGACTTGGACAGACTGAACAGGTCGATACAGTATATTGGTGGAAAGCAATTTGTCTGCTTTGAGGCTTGAATTCCTTGTCGTTGTGAAGTGTGTATATCAATACACAGTATGTTCTCGACTTTCCCTGATGCCCACGGATATCGAGCCAACACCACTACACCAAAACCAGATTATCAACACCTCGTACATGCAGATAGCGCCGTCCCAACTTGTCGCTAGTCATGCATGGGCCCGCCAACATGCTACTTTATTCGTTCCTACAGCTATCCAACATTCGCGTGGATGGACGTGAAGGTGGTAGAGATGCGATTCGCCAGAGTCGAGTCGTTGTGGCCTATGTATTGGCCTAGAGCCTGGAGAGCCCACCCATCGTACTTATTCCCGTTGCAGCGGGAGAGCCAAGCACGGCTTGCTAGTAGTCCCTACAAGTTATCTATATATGTATCAAACCCCCCAGACGTGACAATGCACACACCATGGCCGCAGATACAATCGTTCGGAGCAAGTTTGCTCCCGTCTCCATCCCGGATGATGTGTCGATCTCTCAATTCTTCACTAGATACAATCCCGACAATGTTGCGGATGACAAGGTCGTACACATTGACTTGATCAAAGGGAAAGAGCTCACCTATGGCGGATTGAGGAAGTCTGCCGGGCGAGGTGCTTGGGGCTTGAAGCAGAGCTTGGACCTCAAGAGCGGGAATGTTGTCTGCATTCTGGCACAAAATTCCGTACGTGGAAAGCAAATCCATCTTTGATATGTGACGTGAATACTAATGAGTGACCATAGTCGGATTTCGTCTTGCTAGCTCATTCTATCTGGTGGGCAGGTGCTGTTGTATCGTGAGTTGGCCTATACAAGTCTGGCATTGGACTATTATGCTGAGATCGTTACAGGCCAATTAATCCGCTGCTCACGGTGAAAGATATTCTACATTGTTTTTCACTTGTCAAGCCCACCCATATTGCCGTGTCTGGAGCTTATCACGAGAAAGTTCAAGAGGCTTTGCAGCAATACCGTGGCGTTAATGCGCCTCGCATATTCACGTTGCTAGACCGGATAGAGAACTTGCGAAAGGTAAATCGCCCGTACATATCCTCTGTCTTAATTCTTGATACTTATATCCATAGTTTCCTGAAGATATTGAAGGCAGCTCAGATAAACAAAGCTTACCACCTTATGACCTAGAAGGCCAAAGCTCCAAGAGCGTTCTTGCATCTATCATCTACTCTTCAGGGACGACTGGCAAAATGAAAGGGGTAAAAGTTTCTCACTACAATCATGTGATGAACATCCTTCAGGGTCGTAGCTCGGTGCCTGTCCGACAAAATTCTGATCAGAGAATCATCTTCTTCGCACCTTGTAAGTTTCGTCTGATTTTCATGGTAAAAAATCAAACTTCTTACGAATCACAGACTGTCATATCTACGGTCTCGGTACAGTTGTTTTGAACAACATGTGGCAAGGGAACTTTACCTGCGTTCTGTCCGCATTCGACCTGGAGACCTATTGCCAGCAATTCAGCAAGTACAAAGCTACGCTTGCATATCTCGTTCCGCCCATTGTGCTCATGTTGGTTGCGTCCGACATGACACAGAAGTACGACTTCTCGGCACTTGAATGTATCATCGTAGCAGCAGCACCCCTCAAAGAAGCCCTGCAGAAGAAGGTCAAGGCGATATTCCCTTCAACAAAGATCACCCAGGGCTACGGACTTTCCGAATGCTCACCTTCGGTCCTCATGCAGCACGAGTCGGACGAACAGTATGTCGGCACCTGTGGACGACTTCTAGCGAGCACAGAAGCTCGATTGGTAGATCCCATTTCCGGAAAGGACGTGGGCGTCAACAAGGAAGGAGAGCTTTGGGTTCGAGGGCCACAGACTATGATGGGCTATGTCAATAACGAAGCGGCGACGAAGGAGACGTTTGTGGGAGAGTGGCTCCGTACCGGCGACATCATGACACGAGACGTAAACGACAACTTCTGGGTAACGGACCGGTTGAAAGAGATGATCAAATATAAGGGACTCCAAATCGCGCCTTCGGAGCTCGAAGATATACTCCTACAGCACTCCGACGTCGTCGACGCAGCAGTGTGTGCGATCTACGATGATGAGCAAGCGAGTGAGGTCCCACTTGCGTACGTGTCACTGGTTCCATCCGTTGTCGACCAAGGCTCAGGTAGCATCGGGAGGGTATTGGATAATATAAGAGAATGGCACGATGGAAAAGTAGCGGGCTACAAGAAGCTAAGGGGAGGCGTTCACCATCTACAACAACTGCCCAAGAATCCCAGTGGAAAGATATTAAGACGAGAACTACCCGCAAGAATCAAACAAGCTAGATTTGGGAATCTCTGAGAGAATGCAAATACGGTGGAGCATTACAATTAGCATAAGCATAGAAAACAGCATGTATAGCAGCAGCAAATGTTTATCTACTATTAGGATCATGACAGCCATGAAGCTTCTGCAGATGCCCTCACAATGTTCCAAGTTTGTAACGACCTCACATCAATTGTCTCCCTTCAGCTACTAGAACTATACATTGATTGACCGGAAAATGTATCCGTGATCACATGTATCCTATAGTCGAGTAAGTAGAGGTGGGACTACGGGAATAAATCCGCCCCACATTTACCCCAGAAGCATTTGACCATCGCACGGTGTGGAGGTCGAGTCAGCACTGTCCGCACTCCCAACAAACACTACTGACATAGCTAAATGGCGTCGCGAGTGTTAGATAGCCGCGGTACACCAGAGAGGCTCGACTAGACGTGCAGGGATTCATCATTGTATAGGTGAACTTCTTTTACCCTCCTGCTATCCAACGTAACCCTCCGTCGTTAATTGCACGGCTGGTTTATCCCGTCACCTGCGTACACGTCTGACTACTCTTTCCACTTGTGACAAAGCTCTTATTGTACTACACTACAAGCTGAGGTCATCATTTTCACCTCAGAATATATATCTACCGTATAATCTGCAATTATCTGAGCAGGGCCATATCATACCTCAAAACTATCAGTCGACGACCTGAGGCGGCTCTAGAAACCTCTAATACAGTACAGCACGAGAAATCAACCAAGCATCTATCAACGACAGAATCCCACAACATCTATAAGAGACAGTGCTCCCCAATCCCCAACTTATATCACACTGCAAAGTTTCCGACCATGCCATCAGCACCATTATCTACCCCCCTCACCACCCTGCTGGGCATGAAGCACCCCATCATGCTCGCCGGCATGGACCAAGTTGCAGGTCCCCGACTTGCAGCCGCCGTGTGCAATGCAGGAGGCTTTGGCACGCTCGGCGGCGCTCGCTACACGCCCCAGATGCTAAGGGACATGATTAAGGAACTCAAGGACGATCTGGTGGATAAGAATGCCGCTTTTGGAGTCGACCTACTGATCCCGCAGGTCGGCGGGAGTGCGAGAAAGACGAATGTAAGGCTTATGTTGTCAGAAAAGAAACAACATCATGTACATGATCAATCCAACTGCTAAGTCTTCAGTAGTATGACTACACGAAAGGAAATCTCGGGGAGCTGTTAGATATCGTCATTGAGAGTGGAGCGAAGCTGTTCGTTTCGGCCGTTGGTGTGCCCCCAATTTGGGCAATTGAGAAGCTCCACAAAGCAGGCGTGCTATAGTAAGTATATCGTCTTCCCATTTATTCAAAGAAATCCCTGACAGGTCCAATAGCATGGTATGATTCCAATCATTTAGTTCGTTCATTGGGTGAAAACTAATCGACACGTAGAATATGGTCGGCCATCCGAAAGTGAGTAAAATCGATCGTACAAGCTGATATGCCACCCATCCACATGAGTACAGAAATCAATGTATATTAACTTGTAATAGCACGTACATAAAGCCTGCCAAGCAGGTGCAGACATAATCTGCGCACAAGGCGGCGAAGCTGGAGGTCACACTGGCGACATCCCCACGAGCATCTTGACGCCGGCATGCGCCGACATATGTAAACAGTACAAGTCGCCGCTTACGGGAAAGCCCGTAACGCTTGTAGCGGCGGGCGGCATCAACGATGGCAGAAGCGTGGCGGCGGCTCTGATGTTGGGAGCAAGCGGCGTGTGGGTCGGAACCAGATTCATCGCGAGTGTGGAGAGCAAAGCGCCAGAAGATGCAAAGAAAGAGTATGTGAAATCTACTGAGCGAGGGATTTGAAGCGCTGTCGGGACATTTCTGAGCACAATCACAGAGTTATCGATGCCGGCTACGACTCCTGGATCAAGTCGACGATTTGGTCGGGGCGGCCGTTGCGTGCACTGCGAAACCCTTACATCGAAGATTGGGAGAACAATCGACAAGATGAGATCAAAGAGCTCAGTGCAAAGGGTCTAGTACCTTTGGAATATGAACTGGACAGGTTGCACAAGGAGGGGAAGCTGACCGATGAAATTCAAGATATGACGGCACTGAGGTATGAAAAAACATAACGTCTGATTCTAGTAGCTGACCTGTTCGACAAGGCCGATCGGGATAGTCGCCGGCTCTGTCAACAAGCCTGGGCAGACTGCTGGAGAGATCGTTCGAGAGATAGTTGAGGAGACAGTCGTCGCACTCAACGAGGCAAGGACGATCGTGAATCCATCTGCAAAGTTGTAGTTGAGCGCACATGCACCTAAACACAACTTTAAGATATCAAGACAACAATCATGTCCATATCATATAAACGTTCCAAAATTTCCCAATCCGTTTTCCATCGCTAAATTACACAGATTATAATAACAGAAATCTCTTTACTCATCTAGCTCAAGCACTTTCAAGTTTCAACTTCCGAAAATCGAGCCCTATCACCTTCAATATCCATGATCATCTCAGGGAACTTGTCGTAGAACTCCTGTGTTACTGTCCAGTACTTGAGATCACGATGGTATCGTTCGAACAACGGCGAGGGATAGTACGCCTGGCAGAGGTCATCATAAAAGAAAGCATCCTCAAAGCTGAAAGGCCACTGGAATCGAAGATAATTCCCGTAAGCATGGGACATCTCTTGATTCGAAAAGACTGAGCCGTGAGTCGAGACGAGGCGATCACGCAGAGTCGGCCAAGCGAAAAAGTCCACAGCGACGGGATGCTTCGTTCGAGATTGGGTGGAACTACGGGCAATTTAGTTACGTTGTAATACTTTCAGGGATGCGATCAACTTACCTGGGCCGCAACCACTCTGGGACCTTCTCAAGTTCTTCTTTTGTGGCATTAAGATAGTACTAGATCACGAGTGAGCACATGGGAACAAAGTTCTCTCTAGTCCTGATAGACTATTGTGTACAGAAGATCGGCCCGTACCTTTAAGAGTTTGAAGCTCTTGTATGCCACAGCCAGCCTTTGGATCTTCGGAAGATTGCGGAAAAGGAATTGGTCGACTTCTTTCAGGATTTTGAGCGCGGGACTCTGCGACCACTCAGTAAAACTGGACCATCCATCTTTAATCCCCATGTATAGCAGACCGGCCTCTATCGAGTCTGCATTCAGGGCAGCGGTACCTGGTCGGTGGAGAAACACTTTCCCAAATAGCTCGTTGCTCTTCTTCCAGATTGGACAGATTGCATTCGGTGTAGTTGGGGTGGACGCGCCAGCCGGGTTCCCTATGTGTAGGACGACGGGGGATGGGCAGCGCCAGGAGGGACCGAATAATTCGGACATGAACGGTGCAAAGGCGGCAGTGGTGGGGGAATCGGGGGCGTCAAACATGTTGGCCTCCTCGTTTCGTTCCAGGATCTCGGACACAGGCTCGAGATTGAGCTGCAGGTTGAGCTTTGCAGTATGAGGGTGTGGATGGACAAGATCTGTCTGCATGACCATGCCATCAAGGTCTACTCGCCGGGCAGTTGGGGAGGCGTGTTGAACAAAATTCATGGGCTCAAATCGAGTTATGGCCGAGTCTTCCGGCACGGATTGTGTCGTCGCTGAGGCCAGTGTTGGCTTTGTGTCACTGGCGGTGGATATTGCTATTGCTTGACCCCTTGGGGACGGTTGACCTACCTCATCGTCAGCTACACGACGCACTATGAGAGCTGTAAATCTTCAAAAATCATGGTTCATACCTCCACTATTGGGCCCCGGAGAACCCTGTGAACTTGCAGGTGGCGGATTTGCAGTGGAATTGTTCCTGGGGAATATCTCGCTCCCAACGAGGCTTTTCACGCTATCGATCACATCGCGCAGTCTCTCGTTCTCCGCTCTGAGGCTGTCGATCTCAGAAAGGAGGCTCGCAGTAGCACCATTTCTGTCCTGCTCGCGTAGTATCTGGATGGTGCGTTCGAGGTCCGCTATGTGAGTTTTTGTCTTCTCGCGCAACGAACGCTGGGCCTCGCGGTCTATTGCACGTTTCCGCTCCCGACGTTCCTGCTCCCCCAGACAAGACGCGCGTCGTTTCCGCTTCACGACAGGCGCGATAGGAGTCGCTGGGGGAGCAGCGTCAGTGGCACTACGGTTCACCATGGCGACCTATGGCACCAAAACAACAACAAGAACAAAGATAGCTAGACAAAGTAAGGGGCTAAAAGCCAATTGGGCCCAATGGTAGTGATTCTCACTGCTTTCTTGCGAGTCGAGCAGAGCCAAAGGCAACGAACAGTGGGTCTATGCTGCTGGGGATAGAGTGATGAAGTCAAAGATGTCGAGTCGAGTCGAGTCGAACAGGAGCAGAGCGAAGCAAGTCTGGCGAGATGGAAGGAGAAAGCAAAGATCAGGGTTCAAAACACCAAGTGTCGACGGAACCGTGCGTGCGTAGGCGTGGGTTTAATGGGGGTGGGGATTCGGGAATCTGGGATACGGAAGAGATTCGTATGGAGGTTGTGTAAGGCCGTCTACCCCGGGTGTCGCAATGCGGGGAAAACTGTGGGGTCTAGAAGGGAAAAGGTTTGAGATGGATCTTGGACAAGAAGAAGTGGAGGAAGAGTTTCAAGCGTGGTTGCGGGAAGGGGGGAAAGATTCGGTCGACCATGGCTTTTCTCTCGAATAGTATGACAGGGAACTGGTCATCGTGGCGCTCTCGTTATACTGGATGAGGGATGGTGTTGACAGATGATGGGTTGATGATTGGCGGTACGCCGGTAACATAGGGCAAAGTTCGGTATCTTAAGGGGGGGAACCTTGACGCACGGAAGCTCATAACGAAGGGCGATGGATGAGGGCTAACGTAGTGCTGGACGATTGACGGACGGACGAGGGACGATGCTTTGAAATTGGATGTAGTTGTATGTGTAGTAGTATGCACGGGTGGACGCATGGTCAAGTGGGAGTATCTCAGTATGTATGTATGTATGTATGTACGTACATAGGTAGATACCAAGGTTTGTACTTAGAGAATACAATACTTACTACATAGAGGGCAAGTGGGCGATCAACCGAGAACAGGAAGATGGGGTAGCCCCAATAATACTACCTCGTAAGTTTATTGGTAACTAACCAAGGAGAACAGGGCTAAAAGGGGGTTCCATGAATACCATGATACGTCAAGCATCATGAAGTCACATATATAGGTATCTACACAACAAGTAACAGCGTGTTCGACTGTCACGCTGAATATCTATCTATCTCTACAACTTGGACGGTCTCCAATTCGGCTTCCTCTTCTCCGCAAACGCTTGCAGTCCTTCCAATGCATTCTCTCCCGCATTGAGTGGTTCGCTATACCTCTCGATGGTCAATTGCGTGGCTCGCTCTACGCTTCCCGTTTCCCATGCCTCCTTCAGCGCTGCACGTGTCACGATAGCCGCATCGGGTGAGATGTTGGCAATCTGATTTGCCAACTTGATGGCCTCATCTACAACGGTCTCTTGAGATGGCGATATCCGGTTGACGAGATTGAGCTCTTTGGCACGCTGTGCTGTGATCGGCTCACCCGTAAGGGCCATCTCGGATGCAATGGGCAAACCAACATTGCGCACCAGGCGCGGAGGACCTCCAGCACCAGCGAAAATGCCTCTTAATGCTTCTGGAAGACCAAACTTTGCGTTGGGTGCTGCCACTACCATGTCACTGTTTCCAAATGTCAACTGAAAAGTTCGGGCTAGACCAGGGAGCCACGCTTTGTCGGAGGAAGCATGAAAGAACATGCGAACCATAGTTCAACGTTCTTCCGCTGAGTAACAACGAAGAACCACCCGCGGTCATCCTCTTGACGTATAGAGCGCCGCTGCGGAACACGCCGCATATCGAATAACACAGGTACAGTCTGAACGTGTGTGCACTTACCAGCCGAGCACAATCTCGAATCCTCCACCCAAGGCAAAGCCATTGACGGCCGCGATCACCGGCTTCTTGCCTGCTCTCCTACTCAGACCTCCGAACCCACTGTACGGATGCCTCTGAGCCGCCGGATCGACTTTGACAGCCCCCGACCTTATCTTGCCCAACTCGATCAAGTCCTGTCCGGCACAGAAGCTCTTCTTGCCCGCGCCTGTGATGATGGCAACTCGCAGGTTTGGCTCGCGGTCAAACCAATCGAAGACCTGGCCCATCTCTGTGTGACCCGCGAATGGAATCGAGTTCATGGCCTTCTCTCGGTTGATCGTGACGAGTAGGACATAGGGGGCGGGATACGTGAGGAGGACGTGGGAGGTGGACGGAGGGGTGGTCTGCGGTCGTGTCGACATGATGAGGTTGAAGGATGCGTTCTCTATTGTCTTGTTTATTGAATGCGAAGCGCTCTTCGTGAGATATCTATCTCAGAATGTCTTGTATGGGCAACAATTAAATGCGGCGCAGTAGAGTGGGTACGTGTAGTGCTCAGGATAAGTATTTGCGAGTCTCCAGGCGTGAATACTACTCCTACGTACCCTGGGGACAAGCCATGGGCCGAGGTCCACAGAGCTAAGGTATGGCAAAAGCGGAGTTGGAGATTTCCCCACACCAGCCTACGCCCGCCCAGTACCCTACGGCCCTACGAGGTACGCTCCCCTTTGTACGCCTTGCATGGGTCGGGCAACAAGGGTAATTATAATAATGGGTAAACAGTAATGGTACAACTAAGGATTAGCTATTAATGTTGTTCACCCAATCTGCAAGTATCCGTACCTGAACCATCAACGAGGGATGGCTAGCTCAGATCAAACGCCGTTCACTTGGGTCGAGTAATTACCTAGACAGACACCTCGCTTCATCATCGGGATCCTGCATCAATCAGTTTCTCGAACCGTCTTCACCAATTCGGCTTCATTGCAATCATGTAATTCGTCAGAGGGAAATCCTATAAATTATGTATTTGCTCCACATATCAAATGAGTGGGTAGGTATCTCAAAAGGTTCACAAAAACAAAAAAAGAACAAAGGTCGCTAGAACGCCACAATTCGAAAAGACATTAAAAGTACGAAGGGCCTCAGCCGGAGAATGAGCGATTCGAGCGTCATTCAATCGCCTAATACGCTGAGCCCTTCCCCTTCCAGTCTTCGTATTGATGAACGGGCGAGATCTCTTGCTGTGGTTGAGGCGGGTGCCACGACTCCTGCTGCTGAGAGTTGGGCGGCGGATACCACTCTGCCTGCTGCTGCATCATCCTTGGACTCTTAGGAGCGTCCCGTGTATAGAATCCATCCGCAGGCATCGGTGCCTGCTCATGGCCACCGTCCAGCGCCGAAAAGGCTCTCGTGCGTGGCGTCATTGGATGTTTGAAACCACCGGCCGTCCCTGGCGTTCGTGGCAATTGTTGCAGTTCCCACATGTGTTGCCATTGTTCTTCGGCCGTCATGTCGTTGTGGTCCATGGACGCCTCGAGGGCGGCCCATTTCTCCTTCTCCGCCTTCTTCTCGGCGACTTTGGTCTCATGGGCTGCGCGCGCCTCTTTCGTGGGAACGAGAGAATAGATTGTTAAGATAAGGAAGGAAGCATTGATCACGCTGTATGACTGTGTCAGCAGGCGCCTCTCGACGTAAATGGGTGTGGATGTTGCTCCAACTTACAGCATGCAGACAGACACTGCAAAAGAGGCTTTCGCTTGCATGCAGTAGTGCCTGACATTCTTGTCCTCGACGATGTTGCAGTTCTTGGTGATGAACCACGGCGGGCCATTGTTGATCCTCTTGGGGTCGATGGTATCAGGCGCAGTCTGCACATAGAGGGAATAGGCCCACAAGGTCGTGAGAGCGATATGCAGCGGAAGGGACAGGATGGGATAGAAAACGTGGAGTAGCCACATGGGCGTTTTCACGAGCCAAAAGAACATGCACAAGACGCCAATGACGAGGTTGTACTGTGTGTTACTGTAGAATTGTGAGATTGGTTGTCATCAATTAGAGGGAAAAGCTGAATAAACCTACAAATTGCTCCATACGATTGGCATTTTAACGGGTCTGTAGTTTGCGTAGGCATATAAAATCGTAGTCGGGTCGCTATTAAAACCTCTCCTTCCACCTTCCGCCCATAATATTGTCCGGTATAAATTAGGCGATGCGATACCAAATAGTGTCAGATTTGCGACAGTAAAGGGAAGCTCGAGAATCATAAGGGCATAGACGAATTTTGGCAATCGCCATTGCCGGGGAATGAAAAATCGGCCCATGATGTGTGAAGAGTGGGAATGCCAACCGGTAGCTGTCAGCGCAGGATCAGGTCCAGGTCCAGGTCAAGACTACGAAGGGGGCGTCGCAATGTTAAGGCGATGCGACCGATGGGTGTGCGACACCTCCAGATACCAACTGTCGGTGGCCACGATTGGGATTGTCCAAGGTCAAGGCCGATAAGAATGAAACGTTGTTTGCTGGGTACAAGGACCCAGGACCCAGGACTTGTGTCAGTGTAGGTGCAGAAACCCGGTGTACCTGATGGGGATTTGTGCGACGATGTTGTGTCGAGAGTTCGGGATGGTGGTAGCAATGGTTCACGATGGGTTAACGATGGTGGTTGGTGTCCAGGCTTGTCGGAGGGAACAAGAGAAGGAGGGCAAACAAGCCGTTTAAAGAGGAGGATGATGGATTCACAGGGCAGGACAAGGGCAGGGCAGAAGCAGAAGCAGAACTGAGCAGGGCTTAAAGATGCAGATGAATTCCACTAATACTACTATTCTGCTCTCCCGTATTCACACTCGCACACTCACGCTCACACTCATACTCACGCACCCACACATCTGCCGTTTGCTTCCGCAGTCTGCAGGTCAGCCCGTACATGTGCCACTCCTCGAGTCCATTAGGTGCAGGAGGTTGAGGGACGCGTTGATCTGGTTGGTTGGACTGGCTGGGGTGGAGGTTGAATTTGTCTTTGTCGTCCAGTGTGAAGAGCTTCACAGCCGCTGGGTGGCATCGAGTGGCAGCCATTGGCATCCAAAACCCTGCGCATCACATCGCCAACACTCGCCGGTTCTTTAATGGTGGCGTCTCATCCTCCAATCACATCCCCAGACCTGCGTAAGCACATAAATGCAACATCCTTGCCTCAATTGTCTCTCCGCCTGGCAAGCCTGGGCCCCCTACCCATCTCTCGAGTCTGCCCCCAATTCGATCATCAATGAACCCAGATGCGGCAGGACACTATATGACCCCAATTCATATTTCATACTGGGCATATTGTTGGATGGATCATGGGCGGGGGGCGCGGCCATGATCGATACGAGGAGGCTACGAGCACTAGGTGCGGGAGTGCCGTTAATTACTGCTATGGTGCGAAGAGCAGGATGGGTAGCACAACGTAGATGGACAATTGCCTTTCTACTTTGTTGAAGAGGATAATAACGCTGGAGGCAACGCCTACGAAGGAGATCATTCATTTGCAAAAGGTATTCGATGGACACGGACTCATGATAGTCAATAGAGTTTCGACATTCGATCGGCTGCACTAGGATCCATCCGTTCAATGTTAACCAAGTGGAGACCACTTGGTCCCTTTGCCTGGTGGGGTGAACATCGCCAGAGCTCGACCTTGATGGGCGCTTACAGGGCACACTACCCTCACGATTCACGGAAACAGTATGTGCAAATGTACCTCTACGGCGTATCTCCCCATCTCAATAGCGCTTGTCGACCATCAACCACCCCCGGGAGCGGTTCGCGGCAACGTTCCGGTGTCAACGTGAAGATTTTCATCTCATTAAGCGCGCAAAACAGGTGATCTTGTAACGTCTTGCTCAAGAGGGAACTTGCTGGCTTTCTGTCTGTCTGTCTGCTAGTTAAGTAGTTCCTTATCCAGATGTTGATGTGATTGGCCAATGCATTCATTGCACTCCCCTGCTGGATACGACACACTCCACACAATAGAGCTCGTACATGCCAGCAGACTCCAGTGATGTGATTGCATTCACAATATCATATCATGCCTCAATATCGTTTGAATGCTGGGCTCTGCTCCAATCTTCAATTGTCCCCTTGAGGCTTAAGCTGAGCGCCTTCCCCTGAATTGCGCAAAACTACCACCACTTCTCGCACATTACCTGCGCTGGACTGATACCATCTTGCTGTTGAAGCCAATCGACTATCCCATCTGTCATATCCGGTGGTCCACACACATAAAACACAGAACTACTTCGCCCTCGCTCGTCCCCCAAGGACTTCCGTAACGCAGCTTCATCGATTCGACCAACTTGTGCCGAAACCCGTGGCTCTACGTCTGCTCCTGAATTTCCATGTGTATGCGGTGGCCGAGGGCCACGGAATTTCTGTGTCAATGTTGTTTCTGGTGTTAGAGAAGATCCATCCCATGTGCCAGTGAAGAAAAGATCCAGCCGCCCCTTTGAGCGTGAACCGGACTCGAAATTCCACGAGCGAGCCCAATCCAGTAGTCGTTGAAGGAACAGCACCTCGTTGTCAGAAGCACTATTCGTGGGCAACTTCGTCGAGTACAGGAATTCCACCTCTAGTGGTGATAAATCTGAGTCTTCCTGTTGTATGTCTTGCAACATTGATATTAATGGGCTGGCACATGGTTAGTAGCTGTGTAATCGACCCGTCTAATTGCTCTGTAGACGACATACTTGATGCCGACTCCGCCTGCGATCAAAACGACGCGGCTGATAGACCGCCTGTCGACGTTCTTTGGTGGCCAGACAAAGCTCCCTCCGATGCGAATCTTGAGTTCAGTTCCCAGAATCTGGTCATCTGGCTGCCACAACCACGCCGCTGCGGGGTTTTCTGGACTCTTCTGAACTGCCAATTCCACGAACGGCTCCCTGCTGCCATGGGAATCGGCTATTCCATCTCGTGGACTCGATGCGATTGTGAAGCCACCGGCTTTCTCAACGCCGGGGACATGCAAATCAACCCATTGGCCTGCTAGAAACTTGATGGGCTATAAGCCTTCACCCTTGATAGTGGGGGACATGCTTGATGATCGAGATACCTCTATATTGGTCCGATTCTTGCTAAGAAGTTTATACAATTGGATTCTATCGTTCACTCGTGTGATTTTGTTCAATATGACTGGATGGAGGCCCTCATTGCGTGGCTCCTCTACCGTGCGTTCCTCGTGGCTGAGACTGGCTTTGGCCGATTTCGCAGCCATCACGTTGCTCGAGAAGAGTCGAAAGGATGTGGGAAGAATTCGATGAGGTGCCCGCAACAAGTAGCTGAAGCGTACGAGCATGACACGAAGAAAACAGTTCAATATGTGAAGCGGATAGCTACTGAGGTACCTATACCTAACTGAGATTGAAGAATGGTTGCTGTTTTCATGTCCGTATTGGTCGATTCGTGCTGATGCAGGTATTCCGACCAAGCTACTTTGGGAAAAGCCTCGGGTCGAATGTCATTGAAGCAGGGTCTCACCTCAGCTTTCTTGAATCTTGACTTCAGCCCTTCTTTCTTCTCAATCATCTTCATTTATCTTCTTACCATTTCTTCATTTTTTTGTCGACGCTGCTGTTGAAGACGCATCTTGCTTGTCCTACGAGGAAATCCATTGCATTGAATATGGCCACCGAAGAAGGCTGGCATACGACTGACGACGGAAAGAAGCTATACACCAAGACTTGGAAGGTTGGTCGGCGCAGATGTTTAGACGCCTGGTAGCTAACTGGTATCTTGCGATAGACCGAAGGTCCTGCAAAGGCTCGAGTAGTTTTCATCCATGGATTCAGTGATCACTGTGAGTAACGGGTTGTTTCGTTACATGCCTGGTTTTGTTCCTACAGGCTTACTGACATGTGATCAGGTAACAACTATGACAATCTCTTCCCGGCTCTAGCTGCGAAAGGCATCGAAGTCTACACCTTCGATCAGAGGTACATGATAGACTTATCTAGATCTCCAAATCACTCAACTAAATTCGTTCAGAGGATGGGGCCGCTCCGTCCAGAAGCCGGCCGAGAAAGGGCATACGGGCACTACAGCACGAGTGCTAAATGATATCACGTCCTTCATTAAGACCGTAATCCCGAGCCCTGTCCCATTGTTCATGATGGGACATTCGATGGGCGGCGGCGAGACGCTCTGCTACGCCGCGCAAGGGCCAGCCGAAGTCAGAAAGCACATCCGTGGTTTTCTGTTGGAATCCCCCTTCGTGGACTTTGATCCAAAATCCAAACCTTCCTTCGTGACGGTAGCACTAGGACGTCTAGTGGGCAAACTCCTCCCTCACCGGCAGATGGTCAACAAACTCGATGTCAAGCTCATCTCACGAGACCCTGCGGTGCAGAAGAAGTATGAGGAAGATGATTTGTGCCATGATACGGGAACACTTGAAGGGCTTGCAGGCTTGTTGGACCGCACGGCCGACCTCGCAGCCGGAAAGATCAAGATTGGGGACGACGCGGGAGAAGGCGGTGTAACGAGAATCTGGTTTGGACATGGTGACAAGGACGGTATCACAGATTTTGCAGCATCCAAGCGACTCTTCGATGCATTGACGGCGAAAGACAAAGAATTCAAGGCATATGGAGGGTTCTATCATCGATGTGAGTATCTCCCTCCGCAGTCGGGCGTCCGAACATGAGCCGTATCCATTGACACAGTACAGTGCATGATGAGCCTAGCCCGGAAAACCAGCAATTTATTGATGATGTTGTCAATTGGATATTGAGTAGGTCGGTAGAGCCTGTGCAAGCTGATGCAGGAAAGGCGAAGTTGTAATGTGCAAGTCGGGAATGGTGAAGACGAAACACAACGGGTGGCGCAGAGCTGCGAGGTGCAGCACTTGGGGCATGTGGCAGGACGAAACGGAGTTGTCATCCCAATGTAGATAAGCGGTTTGAATGCACTGCATATTTTGGTAATTAAGGTAAAACTTACTTTATGCTACGCGTAGCCTTGATAACTTTGGAGAGCAAAGTTTTCCAATGACGGTTGCTGTACACGCGTCTTGGGTAATCTGGAGACTGGTGGAACAGTAGTACCGCGTAGAACGTGGATGTGCCGAGTAAGGTACTTGTACTAACATACATGCACGCAATCGTATCTAGTCCCTGCATCATCGGTACGAGTTCAGAGAGGTGTCACGAGAGTATGGTCATGTAGCGTACTGTGTATCGAGTACAGAGTAAAGGCGAATGATAAATGGTCCGTTTCTCATCAAGGACCATGCGGATTTGGGATATCCGAATAGGATCTCGTTAATGAATGGGCTAACAGCGATACGAATAGTGATTTAGTATGAAGTAATATTATCACAATCATTTTACGAGTGAGTACCTAGATAGTTAGGTCGTGTGGGATGATGGATGGAGAGTTGATGGAATCATGGAATCATGGAATCATGGAATTGTGAGCCAACTGTAATCAGATGCGACATGATTGGCGAATGGGAGCTACAAAAAAGTCGATCATCGTATGTCGCGATGGAAAAGGCATACAGGCATAGTTGTAGGCAGCATGTTGAATGTTCTCTGTTTACAATTAGCGGAGCGCTCATTCGGTGCAGTTGAGTATCTGCTATCCGTACTCCGTACAGACTTGAGATGAAAAAATGAGCCGGACACACCCGTCAAAGCAAGGCCTTGGAATGGAAAGAGAAGAATTATTATACGGAGTATAAACATGTATATATAGAGGGACGACTTGGAGGATCGAAACTGACAGTGCATACCTACCTACCATATCTCGAACCATTGTCAATGTCGTAAGATCCAGAGATCCCGGTCCTCTCTTGCATCGTCTTGAATCTTTCGTCTCCATTTCCATCTCCATATCCATCTTACTCTTCTTCTTCTTCTTCTTCTTCTTCTTTTCTCTCTCTCTTTATCTCTGTCACGCTCTACTCCGATGAACGGAAGACAACTCTAAGGTATCATAACTAGAAACATAATCAGATCAGCGACAGGGGCAGTAGCCTCACCAGCACCATCTTCGTTATCATCAGCATCATCATCATTGTATACGACAAAGCCTTCCTTCACTTCCCCTTCTCCGAATCAACTGTCCAACTAGTTACCTATCCTATCTACCTACCTCGTACCTGGGTAGTTACCTAGGTAGTTAGTTTCCTAGTTAATTACCTACCTAAGCAGTTAGAGACTTCCATCGGCTTCCCTTCAGGGTCCACGACGCCGACGCACACGCACACGCAAACGCACACGCACATACGCAGTCGAACCTACGAAACCCCTCAACCCTCCCTATCCTCCTAGCTAGTTAGTGGGCGGTTCCTGTGTCACCTCCTCCTCCTACTGTGCTGCCGCTGCTCGTTGTTTCTTTCGACGGCGGCTCGTTGCTCGTCGCTCATTATTATTATTATTACCCCCATGTCCCTGCGCAACAGGAGCTGCAATGGCCTGTCTCTTTTTAGCCAGCTCCGACGCGTGCATGGCGACGGGCCACGTTCACCACTTTCATCATATCACTCTCCAGTGCCACCGCCCTCACTATCGCTGTCCGCACGTCCATCAACACCAACTCCAACACCACCAGCGGGTCCATCCGCTGCCGCCTCATCCTCCTCCTCCTCCTCCTCCTCCTCCTCATCCTCATACTCATACTCATACTCACCCTCACCGCGCGTCCTCCATACCTCCTTGCGACTTACCCACCAGTTGCGCGTCCTCCGCACGGCCACATCCCCGTCCTCGTCCTACTGGCGCGCCGCCTCGAGTATTTCACAACCCAAGCCCATCAATTGGTCTCGAACCGCACATCGCATACGACACATTTCCCCTTCCGCCATGACGACCACCACCCTGAGCCAGATCCGTGGCCACGCCAGTCATGACCACCACCATCACCACGATAATACCTATTTGCTCTCTTCCAACAAAAAGGATGCAGGCGTCCGCATTACCCGAATTGGTCTTTATGTCAATCTTGGTATGGCTGTGAGTAAGGGCTTCGGAGGTTATGTCTTCAATAGTCAGGGTATGTGCAACGGCTACACTTGTTTTGATCCTCTGAGCCCAGGCTGATACAGACGGGTATAGCACTCATCGCCGACGCCATCCACAGCCTCACGGATCTCGTCAGTGACATTATGACGCTGGCGACTGTCTCCTGGTCCCTCAAGCCACCCTCGGAAAGGTTCCCCAGCGGCTACGGCAAGGTCGAGAGTCTGGGATCACTGGGTGTCAGCGGTATACTGTTAGGCGGAGGCTTCATGATGGGATGGGCAGCTCTCATTGCGCTTGCCCAACAAGTGTTCCCAGAGGCTGCTGAAATTGCTGCGCATTACGGACTGCTACCACACAGTCACGGGCATCACCATGATGTAGACGGTCTGGGACCCAACATCAACGCAGCATGGCTCGCAGGCGGGTCAATCTTAATCAAGGAGTGGCTATATCGAGCGAGTAGGGATACCTTCCCCCGTATGCATTGTGGCAAGACACTGATCAGAACCGCACAGCACTAAAAGTAGCAAATGAGCGCAAATCGTCCGTCCTCGCCTCGAATGCCTACCACCACCGGGTGGATTCCCTCACCGCGTTTGTCGCCCTACTCATGATCTTTGGCTCCAACGTACTAAACAACGCATCATGGCTCGACCCCGTGGGTGGGCTGGTAATTTCATTGATGGTTGTTCAAGCTGGTTGGGGAAACACCAAGGCCGCTCTTTATGAACTCGCGGACGTTGGCATCGAGGACGAGATGAGGGATAACGTGCGAAATGCAGCTGATAAGGCCCTCGACAGCATCAATGCCGGGTCCGCGGCCGAGGCTGTTGAGCTGAGATCCGTGCAAGGGATCAAGTCGGGCCAGAACTACCTGATGGATTTGGAGCTGGCCGTCCCCGGGTCTTGGAGTGTGGAGCAAACCCGCAAAACGGAAGACGCAGTGCGGGAGCGAGTAGGAGCCAAGGTCCGCGGCGTGAAGAGGGTACGCGTGCGATTCGTGTCCAAATCGTCCGGACAATCGGATTACCTGGATGAATTCATCAACATCAAGCCCGGCGCAGCGCTTGAGCCTGAGGAGCACGACCATGAACACAATCACGGCCACAGTCACGGAAGCGGAGAGCCGCGGAAAAGGCAGTAGGCAACGCAGGACAATGTCAGCATGGTGGTTGAGATACCAGGTGTTTTTTGGCGCTATTTTCAAGGGCTATTTGCCCAGGCAGGTTGGGTGCAATGCTGCATCTCGAGATACCACCGGATTTATGGAAAATTAGGATTGTATATAAGCATATCCCGTACACAATTTCACATAACATTCTCATGTGATGATTCCCCAGACGTATCTCTGCATATATACTTTGCACAAGTACATACAGACAGAACAGTAGATCGGAGGAAAGCAAGATCCTAATCATCGACAATCGTACGGGAATGCACGATTCCCAAAGATCCTTTGCACGGCGGCGCAAGGGTCCAGAATCGTATGACATCCACGTGGCCGTGTCCATGGCCATTCTCGAACACTCATACCGACATCCATTTCTGCGGATTCAAGACACGAGGGAGGGAGGGGGAAGGGTTGGCAATGATGGCAAGTAAGGTGTAGCGGATGTGCAGTTCTACCCCAACTTTTGAACGGACCCCCAAACCGGGGAACGGTGCGACCTCAGCATTGCCAGGACGAGCCTGGTACTGGGGAGCTATGATTTCTTGGGAGATGGACAAGCCAACATGATTATCACACACGAGCTTCCATCCCGATTCTGATCGCCAAAGCCCTCGCGTATGAAAGGAGTACAAGTTCATACAAGTAATTAAGAGATTTGGTCCCTCGTTGGGGAAATTCGCACCGCCTCCCCCGCGAAATTATTGGATGGAACCACCAAATACCAAGCCACATTGTCTTGTAAACGCCCTCCCCCGCGCTCTTGGGACATGACAACGTCGCTCGGAGCACGACTCCTATTCGATTCCTTGTACGTCATTACATAGTCCAAGACTCAACGCAAGAACTCACAAGACGGATGATCGCTCAACACGGTGCGGGCAAAAGGGACTTTAACCATTCGTCAATCCTCATACGCTGTAACGGACCTGCGCACTGCCAATTTACCAACATGCCAATTGTGCCAAAGTTGCCAACATGTAATACGCCTATAGCGATCTCCATTCAAGCGACCGTTTTGTATACCCTCAACATTGGATTTGTATCAGCTGGGGGGAGGGATGATAGAGGGAGGGGGGTTCATTGCTGTTGTGGAATATGCACATTGACAGGCATAGACGCAGAAAAGTATCCATATTGATTTACTTTTTGCTCGAAAGATTAACATGATGCCTACCACTATATACAAGGTCGACGACTATTTGCCCAATACTTGCATCTCAGAAACGTTTGTTGGGGTACTCGAATCTACAAACTACAACGCAACGCAAACCACATGGAACGAAGTGCGAGATAAAGAGGAGCAAACGGTCGCAACTTGCAACTATCCGTCAGTGCGGTCGGCTGTACGGGACCTTGGAAGAACATATAGGTGTTTTAAGGATGGTTTCGGTCCAAGACTTGCATGGCAGCATGGCAGTCTTGTCGAACTACAAAGTCGATAACGCGTGCATCACCAACGAACGCGACTCCCCCAGTATAAAAATCCGGGGCCCCAGACCGGATGGTCTTTCCCCAGGCTGGAATCTCCCAACGCTCTCGTCTCCCTCAACGTCTTTCATCCTTCACCTCGTCCTACTACTTTCTCATATATAAGAATAACGACAATATCTTTACACCCTCCCGTGCAACGCATTTCAGCCCACAGCATGAGAGGTTCACCAGATCTTGGTGCCTCCCCGGAGAAGGACGCCCCTTCGCCCCCAAATGAGTTCGAAAACATCGACACCGTAGAGAATGCCGGTTCTTCGCTTGCAGTGGATCTCGAGACCGAGAAGAGGCTCATGCAGAAGTTGGACCGCCGGATCATTCCCATGATTTGCTGGATCTACCTGATGAACTTCATGGATCGAGGTATGTGGTGTCATCGAGGGCCATCTCTCTGAAGACCGACAGACGGATTGCTGACCCCCTCATTCGATAGTAAACATCGGCAATGCTCGTCTGTACGATCTCGAAGCCGAACTAGGCTTGACTGGTGATCAATATCAGCTGGCCGTTTCCATCCTCTTCGTCCCATACTGTGTAAGTTGCTCTCCCTATATTCTCCGTACGTACCGTCCCATCTAACCGAATCGATTGGCCAGCTCTTCGAGACACCATCCAACATGATCGTCAAGCGTCTCAAGCCAGCTCGCTACCTCGCTGGGCTAATGTTCCTGTGGGGTATCACGGCGACATTCACGGCCTTTGTGAACAACTTTGCTGCTCTCGTCGCGTGCCGTATCCTTCTGGGTACTTTCGAGGCAGGTCTGTTCCCCGGTATCCTCCTGTACCTTACCATTTTCTACAACAAGCGCCACATCTCCCTCCGAAACGCCTACTTTTATGCTACATCTGCAGCGGCTGGTGCCATTGGAGGTCTGGTTGCCTATGGCATCGGCTTTATGGACAATGGCGGAGAAGGTACTGCCGGATGGCGTGCGTGGCGATGGATCATCTTGATCAATGGAGTCCCCACCGTTCTAACCGCCTTTATCGTGCCATTCGTGCTACCCAACAGCCCAGAGACCGCCACTTTCCTCAGCGAGGAAGACCGCCGCAATCTGGTCCTGCTCCGCGAGGCTGAAATCGGCATGACCAAGAGCGCGCAGGAGCTCCACAAGGAAGACGTCATTGCCGGAGCCAAGGACTGGAAGACTTGGGCTTGGTCAATCGCTCAGTACTGCAGCCACACCGTGCTTTACTCCTTCAGCGTCTTCCTCCCGACCATCATCGCTGAGATGAACGGAGCGTGGAGCACTGCGACTGTCCAAGCCCTGACGGTGCCCGTCTATGCTCTCGGGGCCATGACCTACCTCACGTGCGCCTTTATCAGCGATGCGACTCAACATCGTGGCATATTCTGTCTTTCCGGTGCGCTCGTGATGATGGTCGGGTACATCTTCCTGATCGTGCACAAGAGCATAGCATTGAGCTTCGCCGGCACGTTCCTCGTTGCAATGGGTTGTTGGACATCCTCTGGATCGGCCATGGCGTGGCTCAACACCAACAATCCCAGGTACGGGAAACGAGCCTTTGCGAGCGGGATGCAGATTACGATTGGAAACTCTGCTGGTGTTGCCGCACCGTTCCTGTTCAGCAATTCGCATCGTCCTGCCTATCGCCCGGGATATGGAGCGACGATCGGGTTGCTTGCGTTCGCCAGTGTGATATATGTGATCCTGCATATGTATCTGCGAAATGCCAACAAGAGGAAAATCTCTGGCAAGGAGGACTGGAGAATCGAGGGCAAGACAGAAGAAGAGGCCGCCGAGATGGGAGATCTAAACCCCAAGTACTTGTACACGATCTGAACAGAATGCGGGAGAGCGCAGATGTATTATTTGGGCTCTGTGAATGAAGAGAGCGCAGATGTATTATTTGGGCTCTGTGAATGAAGAGAGCCAGACCGGCCTGCCCTGCTATGGAGCTATGGAAAGTCGGCGTTGGTCTTGTTATCGAGGTAGAATATTATTAACGTTCTTGAACTAGGCAGGCACTGTGAACTGGTTAACATGTTGCGAGTACTTTTAAGCAATTCGTATAATTCTTGTGGAATATTAGATCTCTTCCCATGGTGCTGTCTTTCACTATTGTATACATTGCGTACTGTTGATGGGAAGTTGATACAGTGTAGTATACTTAGGTGCTCAGGTACTCAGGTACTCAGGTACGTGTGTGCATGTACCAACTTACGAGTATTTATTGAACAACACCAAAAACGGCTACAAAGCGAATCTACTCCACTCGACTCGGGAGATGTAGCGGATTATTAAGAAGGCGAATGCACAATTTACCCGCGGTCTTTTTGGAGTAAGAACAATTTTCCGTCTTCCTGTGCCAGGCCGACCGGCAAAAGGAGCAATGAAAAACGATGGACCCCTAGCGCGTCATTATTGTGGAATCTATCGATAAGCTTGGGGAGGTGGATTTACGAGTAGCAACAAGACTCGCGACCTTATATATATATTTTATTCATCAGTCACTTCCACACACCCTCTCCTCTCTTTTCTTTTCAATTATAACTGTCACACGATAATCATTAAAGAGTCTTGCTGGGAGTAGCCGTCGTTGATTCTCTGAAGATTCATCATTACCCCCTTGATCGTTGGTCGCATCATATCAGACGACGTCACCTGTAACTATTATACTCGCAAATCCTTTCGACAATAATGGCTGCAAACGCACAGTACCTGGGATTTGATCTCAGTACTCAGCAATTGAAGGGTGCGTAAAGCCGCGTTTTCGTTTCGTTGTGATTCCCTCCTTCGCGTCTCTTCCGCCTATGCAGAAAGCTACCCCGCCGCCGCCGCCGCTGCTGCTCGCTGCGCATCCCTCACTGTCTCCCCACCAATGCCCGCCTGTCCGAGTCCAATTCGACACCATTGATACACAATAAACCAATGCTCACCCGTCTTCGCTCGCAGGAATCATCGTCGGTTCCGATCTGAAACTCATTCACGAAGCAAAAGTCGACTTTGACGCCGATCTCGGAAAGTATGGCATCGAAAAGGGCGTTCTCACAAACCCGTCCGAGGGCGAGGTCTTTGCGCCCGTCGCCCTATTCCTCGAGGCCATTGATCTTGTGCTCCAGCGATTGAAGGATCAGGGTGCAGATTTCTCAAAGGTCCAGGGAGTCTCCGGAGCTGGCATGCAGCACGGTACAGTCTTCTGGAGCAAGGACGCCGAGACTCTGCTGGGAGGCTTGGACGGCGGCAAGACATTACTTGAGCAGCTCGAGGGTGGTGCAAAGGGCGAGAGAAGGGGAGCCTTCAGCCATCCGTTCAGCCCGAATTGGCAAGATGCGAGCACACAGAAGCAATGCGACGACTTCGACGCCGCCCTGAAAGACCCCGTCTCATTGGCAGATGCTACCGGTAGCAAGGCACACCACGTACGTTCTCTTCGTATCCACGGAATCCTTCACTGGCTAATGATTCTATGCTACAGCGCTTCAGTGGCCCTCAGATCCTTCGCTTCCATACGAAATACCCCGAAGCCTACAAGGCAACGGCCCGCATCTCCCTCGTCTCCTCCTTCCTCGCTTCCATCTTCCTCGGAAAGATTGCTCCAATCGACATCAGCGACGTTTGCGGTGCGAACCTGTGGGATATCAAGAACGGTCGTTGGCATGAGGATCTTCTCGCGTTGGCTGCTGGCAATGATGGAGTCGAGGATTTGAAGTCGAAGCTCGGCCACGTCCCAGAGGACGGCGGTGCCAGCTTTGGAACCATTTCGAAATACTTCGTGGACCGATACCAGTTCCCTTCTACCGCCCAGGTGATAGCATTCACCGGTGACAATCCTTCTACCATTCTCGCACTTCCTCTCCGTCCCTCCGATGCGATTGTCTCCCTCGGAACATCGACCACATTCCTCATGTCGACGCCAGAGTACAAGCCTGACCCATCATACCACTTCATGAACCATCCCGCAACCGCCGGTCTCTACATGTTCATGCTGTGCTATAAGAATGGTGGCCTTGCGCGTGAACACATCCGTGACGCGATCAACAAGCTCTCCTCCACCTCCGACAAGTCGTGGGATCAGTTCAATTCGGCGGCAACTAGCACTCCAGTTCTGGGCCAGGAGGACCCTTCCACCGACCCAGCACGTCTGGGACTGTACTTCCCCCGCCCTGAGATCGTTCCAAACGTAAAGGCAGGGACTTGGCGATTCCTGTACGAGAAGGACTCTCTCTCACCGGTGGCCGAAGGAGACGATAAGGGTTGGCCCGCGCCACACGCCGACGCCCGCGCGATTCTGGAGTCGCAATTCCTCTCCCTCCGGCTCCGCTCGCAGAACCTCGTCCATGCCCACGGCGACCTGCCGCCCCAGCCCCGCCGGATCTACATGGTCGGCGGAGGCGCCGTCAACCCGGCCATTGCGGAACTTGCGGGCGAGGTACTCGGCGGGGTCGACGGCGTCTACAAGCTCGACATCGGCGGGAATGCCTGCGCGCTGGGCGCTGCTTACAAGGCTGCCTGGGGCGTTGGACGCAAGTCGGGCGAGAAGTTCGAGGACTTCCTCGAGGCGAGGTGGAACGAGGACGAGTTCGTGAAGAAGATCACCCAGGGCTACAGGAAGGGGACCTGGGAGAGGTACGGGGAGGCATTGAAGGGATTCGAGGAGGTGGAGAGGAGAGCGATTCAGGAGAAGGGTCAGGGCATAGCAGGAGGAGAGGCAGCCGCTGGTGGAAAAGTTAACTGAATTGGAGGAGTACTATGAATTGATAGTATGCTTTTCTCTAGTATATAATGTTGAAAGGAGCGGCTCCACATGATGGAATGGCATGATTTTAATGATATCGAGCAGAAATTATGACGGTTACTCCATGCAGAAGTGACAGGCGTGTTCGACCAAGTTTTCATTCGGATGTTTTAAATTGCTTTTTGTTGAAGTCTTGTTCAAAGAAAGATTGCAACATCCAACATAAGCTACATATTTTCCTATTTAATCTATCTGTGGCAAAACAAACGCAAAATCCACATTGCACTAATTCATCGAGTAATTCCGATTCTCCTTTCCTAATCTATTTACTCTCCGCTCCAAGTTGCTGGCGTGGGCGGCGTGGTGGAAGGGTTCGAACATTGTTGCATCTCACGTTATCACAGGCACGCGGGACTTTTGTACGACGTGAGAGCAACCCCATCGGCTGCATGCAACCGATGAAACTGTGCTCTTCACATTTGATTTTTTTTCCATTTTCTGGTTCTGTAGGTGATGAATACTATGGACTCACTATTGGCTAAGGAAGCACGGGTCTATGTGGTTGCGTGGTGGCTCGGTCACAAAATTGACCGAATCGGCGCCCATGAGAGAGAATAAAGAACAAGGAGGTCTTGGAAATCAAGCATCGCGACAAGGAAGCTTCGAAATTGTAAGGATTTATTCCATAACTTCTGATCCGGATCCAGATTGAGATCCAGTGCAATGCGAAACATTGATGCAGACTACCGCCGAGATATATGATTAACGTACGTGGCAATTACTAGAGAAAAAGGAAAATGAGGCATACAGAAAGGCAGATGGAAAAGATCATTAGAGAAAATAAAATCAAAAAAGCCAAATTGAATCGCCATAAATGAGGACTCTCTATCAGCCGTTAATCCTCGTCCATCATTCGAGCGTCCACAGTGAGATCTAGGAGCCGTTTTCCTTTCCGGCGTCCACGATCCCCAGTCCGACTGCGAGTTGATCTTCGAAAGGGTTCATTCATTCATCCAGTCATTGTCCTGTACTTTCCTCCTCTTGATTCCATTTTCCATTATAGCCATCTAAAAAACCTTGCCCCATGTCCCACCACCAACCCAAGTTTTTTCCACTGCCGGTGCCCGCACTTCCCCAGTTCCACCTTTTGACCTTTTGACCTTTTGAACACATCCTAACAACCCAAAGAATGCAAGAGCATTAATTTTCCAAACAAGAGGTGGGGTGGTCGATTCCAGAGAACCAAGTAGCCGCGTGTGAGTCCCCAGGAAATACGATGACTGACCGTCACACCCTTTCCAATTGGCCGTGTAAAATGCGGAATGTGTGTCTCTTAACAACACCATATTGTCGAAACCAAGGGGAAATGTCCAATCCGTAAAGTAGGGCTCATCGGAGTTGCAGTTGACAACCCCGTGAGGCAGTCTTGAGTCTCATGACACAGAGCGATCACGGATGGCGTATATAAATGAGCTCTGCCGGTAGAACCATGAGAAGTCCAAAACAAAAACGAACTGTTCATGCAAAGAAGATCAATAAATCATTTTCCCTGAAGATATCGTTCAAGTCGCACTGTCGGAGCTAGGACTTGAACTGGTCTTCTCGCCCTTTACTGGAACATCCACGGTAGGCGTCGAGGCATTGGTCGGTCCGGACACGCCCTTTAGCGCCGCCAGCTCCTTCCTCAAAGCCTCCATCTCTTGATCTTTCTTGACAATCAACTCATCCTTTTCGCTGCACTGCTTTTGCAATTGTTTAATGTAATCGATTGCACTCTCCACCTTCGCAGCTTTGGAGTTGTTACTCTGCGCCGCCGCGCTGCTTTCTGGGGATTTCTCTTCGTTGGCATTGCCTGGTGGAATATTTGGGGACGGAAGCAGGGCCTGCATCTCCAGGAGCGCAGTGTTGATACGATTGCGGCGACCTTGCTCGGCGATCTTATGAGATGTCCGTTTAGAAGTCAGATTGGTGGAGAGTGAGGTTGGGTAGACGACACCGGGGACGGTAGTGCCGTCAAGAATGTTTTGATAATTCGACTTGGAGGCGAGAAGAAGTGCATGAGTGTCTTCTGTAACATTGCCTGGATAATTGTTAGATTCTTTGCGCTGTAGTATGGCGAGATTGGCTTCGGTGCAGGACTTACCAGACCCTCCATCCGGAAGAAGAGGCTTGATGCTTGGCGATATTTTTGGCCTCAGGGCTGGACTAACGAGCGTGGTGCTAATGCTACCCCTCTTCTTCGTATTCCGTCCCGACTTTGCATCGGGACGCTTGCCGTTGCCTGCAGCGAAAGCAGGGGACGTGGGAGATGCTACAGCGCTGAGCATCGGGCTCGGTCTACTTGAAAGCATGGCCGAGCCTGGCGTGCTCAATGGGCCAAGCTTTGGGGTCTTTCGTGCTCCGATCCGCGGTGTGGTTTGGTCGTCATCGTCGTGGATTGCGGTGTCCATTCTCGACATCGGAGGCCTTTCCAGTGTGGCTTCGGGAAGCGAGAAATCGTCCAGTGTAGCAGGCATATCGGACGAGGATTCGCCAAGGCTGGGTGACTGCTGCAAACGCATCAACGATGCAGGAGTGGCCGGACAGACTCCGTTACCGTTGACATTGATGCTGTCATTCTTCTGATTGATCTGAGCGCGGATAGCGGGAGAGCTTGTCACAGAATTTGGCAACGGAGGCGGCCCCATCTCCGTAAGAGGCTCTGGCGAGACCGAACTGAGCTCTGAGCTGTCACCGCTGTGAGGAACACCGAGGCCCTTGGACGAGGGGCGTGACCTTGATCTCTGTGCCTCTTCGACGAGTTCGCTGACCTCTTTCGGGGGGATGAGAGACGAGACAGTTGCTTTCCAACGGCCTGGTTTCACAATGGGGGACTGTCGTACCCGGCTCGATGCACTACTTGAGCGTGGTGCACTCCTCTTCGTGCTGCGAAGCTTGCGGCCCGGTTCTGGCTGTGCCATGGCTGATTCGCCTAGGTCCATGTCCACGTCGATTGGCGATGCGCCCGTGGAGCTGCCAGAGGTATGGTACTGATTGGGGAGATTCTGTGGGTGTTGCTGAGTCTGCGCATTCAGCGCGGGCGAGGTCAATGGACTAAAGTAGGCCCCGGGGACGGTGAAGTCTGGCACTTGGAAGCGCGCATCGTGGGGAGTGACGGCGGGAGAGACAAGAGGGGTGAATGTCTAGAGGCAGGGTTAGAATGGCGTTGGACGTGGGGTGGATTGTCACGATATATGGCATGCGTACCTCATCTTTCCGCAGGAACCGTTGATCGAAGAGAGCCTGCTGAGGATCCATCTGTTGGAGGTAGCGCGCCGGGTCGCCGTGCATCTCTATGCTGTTGGGCGTGGGCGGCACACCGGCATGAGGTCGGTAGGCCTGCTCTTGAGGCTGAGAGAAGGTGGGCGTACCCGGGTGGTTGTATTGTTGCATGCCAAAATCGAAGAAGCCATTCCCACTCTGAGACATGTTCTGCGACATGTTTTGAGGGGCATGTTGGTGTTGTTGTTGTTGTTGTTGCTGCTGCGCGGGGTGCTGGTGGTGGTGGAGGAGCTGTTGGGGTTGCTGCTGCTGCTGCTGTTGGAGGTGATGCTGTCGTACGCCGGCCCCGCCATTGGCATGTGGAAATCCGGAACCGTGGCCGTGGCTATGTTCCTGTATTATTTGTGGACTGAATTGGCTCTGGAGATGTTGGAGATCGAGAGTGTCGGCCAACTCGGTCAGTTGACGGTTGCTATCGTGGTCAACTGGGCCGGCCTGGGAATAATCCACACCGAAGTCGAGATCGATGTTCTCAAAGTCAAGCAGGTTGCCGAAGTCATGATCAGCGGGTGCGCCCATGGGGTCGAAATGCTCTGGAGCAGACCATGAGGAGTTGCTGGCGTCGTTCATCGTCGCGGGCGCCGAATTCGTGCGAGGACGTTGTCAAGACTCAAGAGGACTCGACAGGCCGAAAAGGCGCGGTGGAAGCAGACGCTCCAGAAGGGTAGCGAAGGCTTTTTCTCCACGGGCGTTGGTTCCCTATAGTAAAGTAGCCACTAGGGAAGAAAGTCAGTGGGTGAGTGAGTGAGTGAGTAAGTAAGTAAAGTAATTAGTCGGAATAGTTTAGGGTGTGTACTCGTAAGAGACGAAGACTACGAGTAGGTAGGTAGGGCCTGGCTCCGTTTCTTTTAGTGGGTGGTGGGTGGGTGGGGCTAGCGAAGGGCAATGGACGGGCTACTTTACAAGTACATTACAAGTACTTGAAGTCTCGTATGGTACTTGTACCTCTACTGAGCTACGGACTCCATCTCGTATCTACACTCTGGGTTATGTGCAACACCTACTTACAATATGGTAACTAATCCAACATGCATCACATTCGGTTGGGTTTTGAAGAGGGATTCCCCGGCGCGCGCAAAGGGACTGCGGGGGGAAAGAGAGACAGTGTACGAGTTCTTGTACGGAGTAGAGGTAGAGAAGCGAGTGACGCGGGACGGATAACTAGGATAACGGGGTGATGGTCAACAGCTGCGTTACTGTCATTATAACTGACACGTTCGTTGGAGACGAGTTCTATGGGAGAAAGAGAAACAATACTCTTCAACAGTTTCCAACTGACCAACTGTTCCTCGGAGCGGGACAAACAGGAGGGAGAGGGGAGAAGAGAAGACGAGAGATGATCCAGAGGACGATGCACCGCGTCAATGGCATCGAATGAGGATGGGCACAGTCGGCCTTGCAGCGTGGGTGGCATGGCAGGTGGGTGGGCGGATTGCAAGCACCCGGCACTGTGACTGAACAGGCCTCTTTTCCTGCATCTTCACTGTGTTCCTACAGGGCCACAGGCATGTGTGAACGACATACCCTGTCAAGCCTGTCCACACTCCCCACGCCTACCGCGTAGTAATTTGCCTGGAGGTTGTGAGATAGGATAGGCAAAACCCAAAAAGAGAGCCCTCAACCCATCCCACTCGTTGCCCGAACTACTCCGTATCAACACCCTCCCCCATCGAGTAATAAATCGAGTCGATTGTGGCTGTTGGAACCTCTGAGACATGCATCATTCATCACCCATAGGTACGGAGCAGTCGTCAGCCATTTCCTGGGGAAATGCGCATTCCTCATTTCCCCAAGACAATTGCACGGGCATACGACGCGCTTATGCTTGTTTTTTCTTCTTTCTATTTGGCCATGGGATGGATGGATGTTCTTTGGTTCACCTTGAAGGTTGTGCTCCGTACTACATGCTCCTTTACCATCTGTCATCGTCGTGGGGTTCTTATACTGTTCAGACAATAATGGAGGCCAAAGAAACCTGCTCCTGCGCATACCAGATCTCTCTTACATGTACTCCGTACAGCAATATTACATCCATGGGGTTTGCTCCTCAAAGAGAATGGGAGATCTGATTTGTTCTGTTCTGTAGCGACCGGTGTGTTGGTAACTTGGTATCAGGCTGGCGGCACCGACCCCCACCCACCCTATGTTCAACGTTCAGCAATGTTCGTTGAATGCTTCAAGCCAGTCAACCTAAACTCTTATATAAATTCTCTGCATGATACTCATGTACACGGACATAGATACGTAGTAGTTAGTTGTACAGTAAACAGTCCGATTCTGTACGAGTATGTACCTCATGTGGTAGGTAACTGGGTAGTCAGTGCCTGGATATATAGTACCGAAGTACTTGTAGATTCTGATGGAGGCTCTTAGCTGAAACAATGTCTCAAGCATAAGTTGGTAATACATTAGTATATCTATTACCGAGTACTTGACTATTTGAAATTTGATACAGAGTATGTAGTGACGAACTAATTAATTGTTAGGTATATAGGGAACATTTACACAGTGCTTGTACAAGTAGGTAAGTAATACGTACAAGTATACATCTCGAGCCGAGCGTGGGTCGGGCGCGGGATGATGGTTAAGCTCATACGGCGCATACGGTAATGCTCTATTCGTAAATGTAATAATACTCCGTTGGCTTGTCGGTGTACATGCCGTCTACGGTCACCATCTAGCCTCTAGTGACCTTCACAGGTGACAGTACACCGTAATAGATATCTACTCGTACCTATATGTATGCATGTACGGAGTATGTACGTATTGGACCCTGACCTGGCACTTTCACCCATACCCGCGGACCACAAAAATGTCTCCATCACATCATGGCATCGTCACCATGAATATCATCGGCATATCCACATCCAGATTGATGTTTGAACATCATCATACAACTCATGTTCCAGTTCTGATTATCTTATTCATGTTAGCATTCTCCACTTGTTACTTGTTCGGCACAGACACGAACTCTTCCCCACCATCCTCCATCCCCCTTCCATCGCTCAGTTGTTGGTCAGTACTACTCCGTACTCCCTTAGCAGATCGGACCCAAATCTAGGCACAAGTAAAATCTAGAGAGACCGAGAGACAAACAGAAAAAACAACGCTGACGCGATGCGCAAATCGCACAAAATCATTGGAATCTCGTGCTAGCAGGTAAACTCGATCCAAAGGGTCAGCAGGTCGTTACCATCGATCTCAATCCATTTTTCACCGTCTTGAACCGTTAATAAAATCCAGCCTCAGCCCACTCACTCGAGTCACTACACTACTAGTCAATTGTTCGAATTCCAAATAGCTAGCTTTTCGTCCCTTAATTTTACTACTCGTAGGTTCTTTTGTTACGAGGTAGACCAAAGTAGGTTAATTTGCTCCCCATTGTCAAAACCTTCCTTTCTCATTATTTCCGTCCCCGTCCTGGGAGTTACCTACCAACTAAGTATTACCTGAGTAAGGTTGGGTGAGGGTCGAGGCGGATACATGATTCCCGAACCTATGCACTGTTATGGCCTGGACGGTGTCCTAATCGGGACGGTTGGAACTTGGTTGGACTATTAGACCAACGCAATCATGCAAAAATTCCATGTTTTTCATCATCATCATCATTATTGCTATGGAGTCTCTTAATTAAAATCATCATCACGATTCACCATCATTGCTCTGGACATTATTCAGACACTTTCATCATACCTCATGTACTCTACACCTGCTGTACGGATAGGTAGGTAAGACAGCATCTGTGTTGACCTGGTTGGGCTAGGCGGGCTAGTTCATTGACCGCGATGCCGCCGCCAACATGAATTTGGTTATTGAAAGCTCAAACCTGCCGATAATCAACCTGTTATTATCTCATGGGAAGAAGTTCGGCGCGAGACGTCCACCTCGTAGCTTTCTCGTAGCTTGCTTGCTACGAGAATGTTCGTAGTTGACTGCTGTAACTCGGGGCCTCGCCTCGCCTTTGGTACCAGTATCTACAGACTACAAGTACTGTGTACAGGCACAGTCGTACAAGTCACACGCGAAACCAGCATCCTCCATCAAGCGAGCATTCAACACTTCGCACGAACTTGGTCCTTTACCCTTGGTCGTACTCGTACTACTTGTACTCGTGAGCCGTACCACTAAATTCTAATTACCACTGGTACGGTAAGAGGAGGTACGAGGAGGGACGGTAATTGATCAATGAAAGCATCAAATACTCCGTACGAAGCGCTGTGTGTCTATCTACCGCGTAGATACCTAATGTTGTCAAATAACTAGCACTTTGTGGGAACTATCGCATGGCTTTTGTCCGGTGCTCGCGCCATTCTCGCAAGCTTGCGCAAAGGCCTTGGAGTTGGGAGCGAGCGCGCGATAATAGCTATGTACACAGTACGAGTACCGAACCTGGTGATGATGAGAATCGACCGAAGAAGGTCAAGAGTTGGAAATCCTCGCCCTTTGACGAATAAGGTAATGAATCAACCCAAGAATAATAATGAATCAATCGCTCGTGGCCTTCGCTGACAGCCAGCTCCGAGTGTGTAGGTGGTGCGCTCCACGCTACTCACGCTCACAGGCAGCACTAATTACGGAGTATTTATCTCCTAATACAGCCGATGCTCTCCCATGCCTGCTTCTGCTCGCGCGCTATTGTGTATTCTCCTGTGCAGTTTTGTTGTATATATACGATCGAGTTTGGCCAACTATTTTATTTCTCCAGACTCTCTCTACATGCGCTTCGGATGTACAGAGTAACTATGTAGGTTGTTATAGAGAGTGCACTGTATGGTGGGAATCTGGAGAGCGGCCTTGGACCGAAAGTCGAGCGATGATTGGACAGAAGTGGAAGGGTCCGCTCCACCTTGTTCATCAAATTCCAACTTCCCAAACCCTTTTCTTCTCTGAGTAATTTCTTGCCAATAGACTACCTACTACCTATAGTTAATACAATAGCAATTACTCCGTACTCCGAACAGTATGAGTAGTTAGTTGATAGTTGGTATCTACTCGTAATGGTTGGTGACGATGTGACCGGTCGCGGTGTCCATTGCTCCACCTACGTCTTCTTGTCGCAATGAGGAGAAAATGACATGTCCATGGATGTGTCTGTTCCCGCGCGTTCCAGAGAGAGAGAGGGACAATAAAGACAGAACAGAGACAAGACAAGAGAGCAACCGACCCTCGACAGGACCCCCTGCGGGCTTCCGTGCGCCACGCCAAATGCCCCCCGACGGCGAGACATTCAAAGGAGAGGAACTAGCTAGACCTTACCTTTACCACTCCTGGAGTCTAGTACCATTGTCTAGGGTGGGTTGGCAGTGGTTGGGTACCAGCCGAAGGTCAACTCTGGGTTACCCCTGATTCCCGAACAAACCACCGTCTTCTCCGTACCCACGGCGTACAGAGGTACTGTGTACATACCGTCACCTGTGTTACCGTGCTGCCTGTAGTCTGTAGGGTGTAAAATGTGTAGGCATCAACACCAACTCCTCCTACCCATCATCCCCAGGGTGACTGTTCCCGAGGGAAAGACTCCAAGAACATTTGCCTCGAGGATCGAGGTGGTGCCAGAACAGTTGAGACATCATGACGCGTAGAGAACATACAAAGAGACATTCTACAGAGACATCTCGATATCATAGTGCGATTTATAGATTGATGTAATTAAAATCCTGATTCTTATTGTTGTTGGCGGTTTTTGCTTCATAATCGCGAGAAAATATCTGTCGAAACGGACGCAATCAAATACACCCACTTCCACCCTCGCACGTACATGCACAAGCTTCTGAAGAAGATAGAAGAAATCCCCAATCCGTCTCAACCGCGCTGCAAATGCAAATGCGACAGCCGGCAAACCCCTTCGCTCTCGCCCTCCTCAACCGCAACCACCATCCATAATTTACACATTGCTGAAAAGTACATGGCCCGTCCATATTTCGAGTCCCAGGACTACCATGGGTATTATCCACCTCCTGCCACCAAAAGAAAGGTATATGAAAATCTTTGTGCCGTCAAGGGCTCCGCATAAACGCCGTTGCTGAACATGATCGATGGCTCCTTGTCGTGGTCCTTGTCGCTTTACATAACGATGCAGCAGCCGTTGCTTTGTTGGGGGGCATAAGGATCCTCGCGCTTATCAATCTGCCAAAATCATACCCATGTCAGCATATCCAATCAATCCATCATCATTTCTCTGCTAAGACACACATGGCCCGGCAAGAGGAGAGAGAGAGGAGATGTAAGGAAAAAAAACATACCGTTCCCCATCGCGAAGGCACCATCCAGTCCTTTGGCTCCTTATCTGTGAATGCAATAAGACTGTAGTTCGGGTCAGCAATGGTTGCTCCTCCTTCTCCAAACACCGCGACGAATCGCTCGGAGGGTTCATAATGGGACATACTCTAACGCAGCTTCCGAGACAGGTATCCGGCGACGGTCAAGGTCCTCTCGCAGACGTTGGTTCAATTCCGTGAGGCGACGGAGCTTCAGCTCGGCCATGCTCTGCTTTTTGCTTTTGCCGTCGCCGCCGGTGCGGATCTCGTAGGGCGCTGCCATCATCATCATACCGAGGTAAGAGTGATCGAGGAGGTGGAATACGGCGTCGAGCTTGGTAAAGGGGACGACGGTAGAGCGTGATGTCTAAAATGTGTGCGCCGGATGATGGTGCGACGTGTTGTGAATTGGACGTGTAGTGAGGAGACGAGAATCAGACGAGGCAGAGCAACGGGGGTTAAAGGAGCGGAGGCAGCCGAGCCTGACGAAAGCCCGTTGCGGATGGCGGAAGGATTGCGATGGAGCAAAAGGACGTGTGAATTGAAACACAGCAGAGAATCGCAATGGGCCGATGGGCGATGGGAACCAGGCCTGCGCTGGATGGGAGGAGGGGAGGGGGGAAGGATTGTCTTCGAGGAGAGGTTGAAGAGGTGCTCCTGGGGGAAAGAAGAGTTAGAGTAGGATGAGTGAGCGAGTGGAGCGAGTGTGTGAGAGAGAGGAGAGAGAGAGAGTGTGTGTGTGAGAGAGAGAGAGTACGAGAGGTGAGTGGTTGGTTGGAGCCAGGCCAGGACAGGAGACCGAAGTTGGGTTGCGAATATGAACAGGCGGCCGGGTCCTCGTGAAATGCGGACTAGCGCCTCTTCCTTTTCGCGGAAATGAGGCTAAGAATTCCGCCTCTTCTACTATTGGTCCCCCCTTCTCTCTCCTAACTCACGACTCACGACTCGACAAGGTACCTCGTACTTGTACATAGTTCACAGTATACAGTATACAAGTACTTGTTGTCGCAGTACTCCGTGCTCTCTATAGGTATTACAGTAGATACCATACTGCTTGAATCAATTGACCTTACTCATCTGCCAATGACCAAAGTACCTAGGTGGGTGACGATAATACTGCCATCGCTATTCTGAATATTACTCATTGCTTTACTGTCCCTTTTCGGTACTTACCTAGCCCACCTTGGTCCGTACGTTATAAGGTATATTAACAATGTTACCTCTGCAACCCTTTCCCCACCATGTACCTTGTTACTCCTCATGATAGATCCAACTCTGGCGCCAGAAGATCCGACTTGAACATGGAATCATCAGTTGATCTAAGAGTTGTCCATTATCGCTTCTATCTGTCGCATATCAGGCGTCTACTATGCACAATACAGCCACCTCGTAGAAGCCTCTCACACAGCAGCATAGAGCAACAACTTGATTCGCCCCTCTCGATACAGCAGCAACTGTTGGTGCACATACGGGACGGGTATGGAGTACGGAGTACATATGGGCGGCACATTGTGCATTGCCATCACACATACCCTCTCCGTAGTATAGGTACCTAGGTAACCAGTCGGTAAAAGTATATTGTTCGTGTATAATGTTGCTTCTTTTCCTTCCATCCTTTCACTATCATCATTATTATCATTATCATCATCATGCTTCTCCTTCAACCTGTGTGTGTGTTCGTCTCATCCCTAATGGTAGATCCATCCATATAATACTTCGTCACCTCCGCCCTCTTAGTGGCTGGTGCGATCAAAACCCCGCTTATCTAACATTCCGCCAAGACTACTCCCACACGTTGGATTTTCGCTCCATCATCGCGACGAATTGTGACTTTCGAAACGGACCACCACCACCCGTTGCCCTGCCACCTTCGAACCGACGCCTTTGAAGCGATAATCCGCTCAAACCCGTCATCATGGCTCATCGTGGTCCCGGCAGCAAGCCGGAGGTATGTACCTGGCTTTCCATTTCCTGTGCGAAATGCGGGCACACAGACTAACAACCACTGCAGAATATCCTCAAGCGGGCAAATGAACTCATCGGAGTCCAGCAGCCTCAAGCTGCACTCTCGCTACTCCACGAACATGTCATCTCTAAGCGAACCCGAAACTCCCCCATCGTATCCCTCGAGCCGGTGATGCTTCTTTTCGTTGAACTCTGTGTCGATCTGAGAAAGGGCAAGCTCGCAAAGGATGGCCTCTACCAGTACAAGAACACCGCCCAGAACACAAATGTTGGAACCATCGAGGTAGGCAGACACAGAAATATAGGACTTGGGAACAAAGCACTGACACCGTGACAGCTTGTGTTCAAGCGATTCATGGAACTGGCTGAACAGAAGGTCACCGAGGCCCAAGCCAAAGCCGACGATGTTCAATCCTCGCTCGAGACCACCACCGCTACGCAGAACATCGATGACCTTGAGGCTTCCGAGACTCCCGAATCCATCCTCCTCTCAACCGTGTCCGGCGAACAGTCTCGCGACCGAACCGATCGTGCCATCGTCACTCCCTGGTTGAAGTTCTTGTGGGAGACCTACAGGACGATCTTGGACGTCTTCAAGAACAACGCACGCCTCGAGATCATGTACCAGAGCACCGCACTCAACGCCTTCGCTTTCTGCTCCAAGTATGCCCGCAAGACTGAGTTCCGCCGCCTCTGCGAGCTCCTCCGAAACCACTTGCAAAATGCCGCCAAGTTCTCCTCCCAGATGCACGCCATCAACCTCTCCGACCCCGACACCCTCCAGCGTCACCTTGACACCCGTTTCCAGCAACTCAACGTGGCGGTCGAGCTCGAACTGTGGCAGGAGGCTTTCAGGAGTGTCGAGGATATCCACACCTTGTTGAATCTGAGCAAGCGCCCCGCCAAGAACATCATGATGGCCAATTACTTCGAAAAGCTCACTCGCATCTTCCTCGTCAGCGAGAACTACCTTTTCCATGCAGCTGCTTGGAGCCGATACTACAATCTCCTGCGCCAATCTGCTGCCGCTGTCGCCTCTGGCCAGGGCCTAAAGAAGGACAACCCCGCCGTCACCGAAGCCGATATGACGAAGGCAGCTTCGTTTGTGCTTCTTGCGGCTCTAGCCATCCCAGTCATTAGCACTTCCCGCTCCCGGGGTGCCCTCGTGGATGTTGATCAGGCCAGAAACAACAAGAACTCCCGGCTGACGAACCTCCTCGGTATGGCCCAGCCTCCTACTCGTGCCATCCTCTTCAAGGATGCCTTGAGCAAGGGTCTCCTCAAGCGTGCCCGTCCCGAGATTCGTGATCTGTACAACATTCTTGAGGTTGACTTCCACCCTCTGTCCATCTGCAAGAAGATCTCGCCTATCCTCGCCAAGATCGGCGCCGACGAGGAAATGAAGAAGTACGTTGGCCCTCTTCAGCAGGTCATCCTCACCCGCCTCTTCCAGCAATTGTCCCAGGTCTATGATTCCGTAGAGATCAAGTTCGTTCTCGACCTGGCCCAATTCCCCGACCCCTTCCAGGTCAGCAGCGGGACCATTGAGAAATTCATCATGAACGGCTGCAAGAAGGGTGATCTGGCCATTCGAATCGATCATGCTAGTGGCGTGCTCACCTTCGACTCGGATGTCTTCTCATCCGCAAAGGCCATGCACGCAGGTCCGGGAGCTGGCTCGGCGGAGGAATCAGTCCAGCGCCTGCAGAGCACTCCCGCTGAGATTGTTCGCTCCCAACTCACTCGCTTGGCCAAATCTCTGTTCGTCACTTGCCAATATGTTGATCCTTCTTTCAACGACGAACGCAGGAAGGCCAAAGAAACGGCTCTTCTGCGAAGCAAGGAGGGTGCCGACAAGGAGCACCAGGAGACTCTTGCTCGCCGCGATGTCATCACACAAAAGAAGGAGGCCGCTCTCAAGGCTGCGCAGGCTAAGGAGAGTGAGGAGCAGTCCAAGCGCCTGCTCCGCGCTCAGCAGGCCCGCGATGAGGAGGCTCGCCGTCTCGCCGAAGAGCAGCGCCTCCGCACTCAGCAGCGTCTCCAGGCCGAGCAAGCCCGTGTCCAGCGCGAGGAAATTGAGAAGCAGCTCAAGGAACTCAAGCAAGGCACAAAGGTCGAGCTTGATATTCCCGAGGACATCACTGAGTTGGATTCCGGCCGCATTCGTGCCATGAAGCTTGCTGCTCTCGAGAAGGAGAAGAACCAACTCGGAGAGCAACTCCGCATTGCCGGAAAGAGAATCGACCACTTGGAGCGTGCTTATCGCAAGGAAGAAGTCAAGCACTTGAAGGGCGACTACGAGCGCCAGTTGAAGGAGGATCAAGCTGCGTACGAAAAGGCCAAGGTCGAGACTCTGAAGGAGGCTGAGCACAAGCACAAGGAAGATGTTGCCCTCAAGCATCGTCTGTCAAGGCTTGTGCCCAAGTATCAGAGCTTCGTCAACGACGTCAAGCAACAGCGCAAGGCCGAGTTCGAAAAGCGCAGCAAGAAGGCTCAGCAAGAACTTGAGGCCAAGAAATCTGCACGTATTCGCGAAATCAAGGAGGCTCGTGCAAAGGAGAAGAGGGAGCGCGAAGAGCAAGAGAGGAGACAAAGGGAGGAAGAGGAGCGCGAGAGAGCCGAAGCCGAGGCCAAGGCCAAGGCAGAGGAAGAGAGACGCGCGAAGTTTGCGGAAGAGAAGGCAAAGAGGGAAGAGGAGAGAAAGTATGCTTCGATGCCATCCCAAACTCCTAGATTCACACATGCTAATTCTTCTGGTAGGAAATTGGACGAGAAGGCTGCTTTGCAGCGCCAGAGAGAAGAGGAGGCGGAAGCCAAGCTTGCCGCAAAGAAGGCCGGTGGTCTTCCGGACCGCACCGTCTCGCGCGATCGACCTTCAGAATCAGCTTCTGCTGGCGGTCCCCCACGTCTCAATCTCGCCGGTGGCAAGCCATCGTGGCGTGAGCGTGAAGCTATGAAGGCTTCAGGTCAGGCACCTCCATCGGCTCCTGCGGCCGCCCCATCTGCTGCTGCTCCATCTCCGGCTGCTCCTCCTGCTGCCGAGAGCGAGGCACCAAAGAGGGGCGGATACGTTCCGCCTGCACTGCGCGGCAAGACCGAAGGCGGCTCTGGTGGAGGTTGGCGCGAGCGTGAGCGTGAGCGCGAGAGTGGTGGCCGCGGCCCTGCTCCTCGTGCCGAACCTTCTGGACGTTATGAGGCACCTAGCGGCCGTAGCAGGTTTGAAGCTGGCGACAAAGGCAGGACTCAGTCGCCTGCTACTGGCGGCGGTTATGTCCCACCCGGCCGACGTGGCCAGGCAGAGGGTGGTGACAGGCCGCGTGGAGAGGAGCGTGAGCGCGAGCCTCTGCCTCAGGGTCAGGCCTCCACAGATGGCAAGTACAGGCCTGGTGCATTCAAGAGATCAGGTCAATAAATCACTTGACTTGACAGTATGATTAATCCAAAAGGGGGAAATGCCTTTCAAGATGATATGACGACGACGAAAAGACCTCCAATTTGGGCACATAGGGAACGGTAGGGTAGATAAATGGCTGGTGGAGTTGGGCCCTAGTCGGCATGGCTCGACTCTTCTCTTTTTTTTCCTCTACTACCATTGGGACGAACGAGACACGCACGTAGGAGAGAGGTCTCAAGAGATTTATAGCATTTTCCAATTCACTTCAAAGAACTTCCAATACTCTGAACTACGCCATGTGCTGCCTCCTGTTTTTGCGCCCTTTTGTAACATGATTGCTGGTTCTTTCTATGACGCTGGTTTGATCTTGTACATATCAATCAACGATGACGATTGCGCTGTACAACTGAACTTTGCATTACCTCTGTGTTGTTTGCTGTCTCAAGCTAAGTCGTCGATAACTCCATTTCGCAGACACCAAAAAGTGCTCGCATGCATCCTACAACAAGACAGGTAGACATTCGAGTCGGCTGCATAGGGGTAGCTTTGCATAATCTCCGAAAACACCAACCATCTCATAGAAACGTATCTATAGTGCATGTTATTGGCTCACCAATATAACATCCATGAAGGCTAAATGCAGCAACATCGAAACCTTGGTCTGCCCTTCTCGGTACCACTCATTAATAGTCAAACCCTATGTTTAAAGAGTTGCCAATATCTTAGTATAATAGAATCCAGCATCTCGACTTACAACAATTGAATACAGAGCTCGCAAAATCTGGACACTGCTAAGATTACAACAACTTCAGTCTCAAGTCTTCGAAACATTCGCATCAACGATCATGCGATCCTGAAGCAGGGGGTGGGACAGCGCGGGGTATGAATGACCCATCACAGTGGCCTGTAACCCAACCAATAACCCCGGCCCGACGTAGTATCACAAGCTTCCATAATGTCTACCTGTATTTGGTTTCCTCTTCTGTCGACCTCTGTATACTGTAAGTCGTTGCGTTACGCTCTTGCTACCCCTGTCTTTCTGGGAGGAATGCGCATGCCTACAACTTTTTGTCCACGGGTGTACTGTCACTCGGGAGACATTCATAGGTATGATCGTTCATTATACAGAATTCAGAATATCCAAGACAGTTGCTGCTATAGTTACCTTACCCCAAAAGTTACATGTAAGGGCTACCAACCCAGGCAACATATTACCCAGGTGCTGTGACAGACTCACGGGTCTATACCGTGCTGTTATCAAGACCTTCAGGTGCCAGTCACTATATCCATGTCCGTAGCTCCCATATCTCCCATTTCGTAGCTCCTTATCTCCTTGCAACAAGAATCTACTCGACGGACTTCAATGTCATCCCCCAGTCGCACCCCTTCTGTTACATTTAACAGAGCATACCTTCCTGATTGACCCATTTGCCCCGTCTTTGGTGCTCATTTACCTGTCCACTGACTGTGGTGTCGTGCAAAATTGTCTCAGTCCTATCTGTAATTATGAGGGCTCACTTAACATAAAAGCTGCACGTACTACACGCAGAATTGGTTCAGCGACCAACATCAGCAAGAATTTTGAAGCACAAACATTGCTTAGTATGCGTCTTTCAACCCCTATGCTTATGGCTCTAGCAGGAACTGGACAATCTGTCGTGATACCGAGACTTGCCAACGGAACCAGTATGGCAGCTACTGGGTACAGGAATGTTGCGTACTTTGTCAACTGGGTTGGTGTATCACTGCTGCTGCGCACGACGATCTTGACTGATATTTATCTAGGCAATCTACGGACGCAATTTCAACCCTCAGGATCTTCCCGGCAATGAACTAACTCATGTCCTTTATGCATTCGCGAATGTGCGTCCGGAGACAGGAGAGGTGTACCTGTCGGATACATGGTCAGACACCGACAAGCACTACCCAACAGACTCATGGAATGACGTTGGCAACAACGTCTACGGATGCGCTAAGCAGCTTTTCCTTCAAAAGCAGAGGAACAGAAAGCTAAAAATCCTGCTGTCCATTGGTGGATGGACTTACTCTTCGAACTTCGCCCAACCAGCCTCTACTGCATCGGGAAGAGCGAAGTTTGCAAGCAGTGCTGTGCAGCTATTGAAGGACCTTGGCTTCGATGGGCTGGATGTTGATTGGGAATATCCTACAAGTAATTGAATAGTTCTCATACCTTCATCCTGTGCTAACACCATCAGATGCGGCCCAAGCCAATGATATGGTTCTCTTACTCGCTGAAACTCGGAAGGTGAGATCTCCTTTCTTTTCTACTTCTCTGGAATTCAGTGATACTGACAGATTTATGGGCACTTGATGCCTACTCCTCGCAATATGCAAATGGACAGCATCTTCTGCTTACCGTTGCATCGCCCGCTGGCCCATCAAACTACGAAAAGCTGAACCTTGCGGCCATGGACAAATACCTCGATTTCTGGAATCTAATGGCCTACGATTACTCCGGGTCTTGGGACACGGTTTCAGGACACAATGCAAACTGGTACCCTTCAGCGGACAATAAAGCCTCCACACCATACAACACTGCACAGGCTATCTCCTATTACACTGCGCATGGTGTGGCCGCTTCAAAAATCGTGCTCGGGATGCCTCTGTATGGCCGTGCATTTGCAAATACCGACGGTCCAGGGCAGCCATTCAGCGGAAATGGACAGGGAACATGGGAGCCAGGTGTTTATGATTACAAAGCCCTACCACAGGCCGGTGCTACAGTCTCCACCGATACCAAAATCCTGGCAAGCTGGTCGTATGATAAATCTCAACGGTTCATGGTCAGCTACGACACTCCTGCCATCATACAGGCAAAGACGCAGCTTATAAAGAGCCAGGGTCTTGGTGGGGGGATGTGGTGGGAGAGCAGCAGCGACAAGAAAGGTAGCGAGAGCCTGATATCTACTGTAAGTGATTTGTTGAACAATGAACCGCATAGATCATAGAAACTGATCCATCTAGTATGTCAATACCGTCGGGGGAGTTGGTGCTCTAGACCAGAGCTCAAACCTACTTGATTATCCAGCGAGCAAGTACGACAATCTCAAAGCAAAGTTTCCGACGGGCTAGAGTTGTGCTGCGACAAGATGCTTTTCTTGTACATACGGCTAGGAGCATTGGAACGTCCCGGTTGATTTTATAGATCCGAACCCGCTCTTTAACTTTCTCTTCAATGTATATACTTCCTCTGATTCCTCTTTTCTTCATTTTCTAGAATGGTTCTTATGTTCTGGCAGTGCCCTTTTTGCTTCCAAAGGGGTGCTTCCGTACGTATTGTATGACTTCAACCTTCTATGTTCTGCTAAAGTATTTGATCTGTTACTTTGAAGTCTGTGACGGAAACCTCTTCCATAAATCTGATTTCAGATGCACTTGGTGCCAGACATGTGCAGGGTGATCTGATTATCTCCACGGTTCACCATTACCGGATGCTCTTACTGCCAACACATACAAGACAGTTTTTAATTTCTCTCGACTGGTATACACGATCATACTCAATTATTTTTGCAAATGCTTGAAGATAATGTGCAACATTGACGGCTTATCTATTGCTTCCAAACTCACACAATGTTGGCGCCTGTCCCTGTAGACCCAGGCTAGGTATAAGAATACATGAGTTGTACAATTTCTCTCTTCCGCAAATCTTAGTCTTTCTCTTTTACGTAGAGTTTGAGTTGTCGGCGCAAGACCAAGCAGCCGAACCTCCTGTAGCGCGGTAGTCCTCAATAATGGCAATTACGGAGCCATAGGTGCCGCTTATCGTCAGGAATGTCCCCCCAATGATGATGAATGTGCTCCAGCATACCATCAAGATCCACTTTAGCGACTTTTTTTCTTTCCCTTCGCTCCAATTGTCGTAGAACCACATACAGCCCATAGGCTGGAAGATGAGCAGTGTACCCAGCAGCGCACCGACTAAAGATACCAAACTGCCGAAAACAGGAATAGCACTCGCGATAACGTACGCAAATATGGCCACACCTAACGTACAGCTAAGCCAGTAGACCCAGTGCTTTACTGTGTTACCACTGAGATGCTCGGAACCTCGTAGGAGGCGGACGAAGATGTACTTGGCTGTGTAATGAGTGGAGAGTGTGACACCGACAATAAGACCAGGCAGTGCGATACCGTAGCTCACCTTCTTCATCACTGCTCCAGCTGATCCTAAGGCTGGCGATGCCACGTACGATCCACAGTAGTAGTATACGACAACCCCGATAGTGATGTACAGAGCAGTGGTGATGCTCTGACTAACAACAAGTGCTCGTGTGTACATTCGTGGGTCCCGCATCTCGGCAACGATATTGAAGTAAGCCGGCGTGCCTGCATATGCGAACACTAGTGATGTCAAAGCAGAAGAGGCTTGCGCGAACGACGGATTGTTCACAATTTTATAGTCTGACTTCCAGACGGTCCCGGGCGGAGCGGCTGCGGGACGATCTTGTACACCGACGGCAATCGTGAGGGAGAACACTGTCAGATCGTCAGGAAAGAGCGGATTGGGTCTGGGATGTCGACCTGCCAGCAACGAAGATACTGATCACTCCGACCCATGCGATCCAGGCCATCTTGCCGAGCGTTTGCACACTCCCACAGCCCCAGCCGACGACGGCACCGATCGCTACAAAAATAGCTGTGCAAGCGCCGTGGGTCGAAACAGCGTTCAACCCGATGGCGAAGCTGAGCATGCCTGAGCCAGCAACGCAGGCAAAGACTGTCACTTGTCAGCATCTCCATTTTCAATGATTCTGTTTGACGAACACAAGGAGAATATCAGCCCGAAGAATTCCCTCCCGAACCTTCCAAACATCATGTACCCTGCATCGTCGATTCCGTAGACTTCGGGATGTTTGAGTTTGAACAAGCCAACGATTCTATTTGCCCAAGAACTCGTCACGGCGATGATGAGGAGGCAGATGATGCCCGGGACAATTCCAAGTGTGTCGAACACAGCTGGCACGGAGAGAACCCCCAATCCAACCTGAGTCTTCATCATAAGAATGGTGGTCCCTATCCAACCGACCTGGAGTGTCTTTAGCCTCAGGGAACGCATGTGTTGAAATCAATGATGAGTACGCACATTACGGTAATCAGGTCCAGCATCTGTGATCTCGCCAAACACAGCATCAGTCTTGTGTGTCTCTGTCTGCCCAAGCTTCGCGTCTGTCATGTTTGTTGGCGTCTTTTCGAGCGTCCCGGCCGAATCTGCGTGGGCCTCGAGGTCTCCGACTGCTCCTTGTTGAATCATTGATGCTCTGAGGGAGGAAGAGTGCAAATTGGAATCAATAAAGTAATCAACCCAATGTAATGGAATTGAAGTCTGGGGAAAGATTGTGGGGAAGATCTCGGTCTTCTTAAAAGGGGAAGCTGCACGTGCATTGATAGGTCGTATCAATTCAATTAGGACTCTTGAGCACAGTGCATTACACAGTCGGAGTGGTTGAGGCTGAAGAGCCTAGTATCGTAGTATAGGTAACTGATTCCTTGGATATCCATATTGCTCTTTGCCACACTATTGGAATAAGAGAGGGATTCCGGCTGATGATTGACTCCCGGCTTTCATCACTGATTTGCAATGACGAAGAAATCACATAAGCTTAAGTAGATGTTTGTATACATGAACTAGATGAAGACATATTGATGGGAATTCCCAATGACATTTCCGACAAGAACAATACAATATGTAGATGACTCACTCACGCGAGTAATCATCGCGATTGTCTAGACACGAAGCTACTCCTGGTTCAAAGACATCCAAAACTTACGGGGTGATCACATTCACCCATCACACCGTATGACACAATTACCCTTTCATGTTGGCTCACAACTAGTTGTCCTTCAAATTATCGATGGCTGATCCAGGTCTCATATCTCAAACCATTTTGCATAGCACTGCTCGCTTGATACCAGGTGATCAAGGGAGCGCAGGTCAAATGATTGCCCTTCTGAGCGACTGTGTATGGATGGATCTAATCTAACCAGGCCTAGCACCGGAACCACTTTCCGTTTCGTTCTTCCAGATCTTACTGCTGAAACAGCAACCACACAAGGCGTTTCTACGAGGAAATTGAAATGCATTCATAATGAATGGGTACGAAGGCCAAGTCGTAACCGATAAGATTTAGCAATCAGTCACCTTAGACTGATGATATTCAGATGAGACGAGATAAGATACTTTACATGTATCGATTGCTAAAGCGTTCTGGGATACTGGCTGTCTGATACAAATTGGTCTGATAGCAGACAATGATGACAAGACGCCAGCACAACCTTGATCGCAGCTGATCAGAGGACAGATGTTTCATGGGATCGGCTTGTGGTCAAGTACCTAAGGCCACGGTACTTTGAGAAAGAAGATAATAAGTGCTAACTACCATCTTTCGTAACTACCTAAACAACGGTCCGACGAACCTCCGAAATCCGAACTTACTCTATAGACGTCATCTCATTCCGCCCATGGTTCCAGGTGCCAGTGCCAGTTAACCGCACCGTGCAATCAATGGCTCATCGTCAAGCGTACGTAGCTAAATCAAGAACAATATGTCTTCGCCAGACTCACGCCTCTCCATGGAGTTGGAACTTCTAGAGGCTATGTACCCCTCGCAGACGGTTTTCGACTCTCGCAGCCGAGATTTCAAGTACACCGACAGCTCTTCTCTTCTGCATCTCCGCCTTCCCGAGCACTATCCGTCTGAGGGATTCCCTGAAGTCATATCAGCTAACGACAATTTGAAGTCGGACATCAGAGATCGCACAAAGGCAGCTTTGGGTGGCATCAGTATGACGGAAGGGGAAGAGTCTCTCGATGCGATCATCTCATGCTTCCACAACATCATTTCGTCCGCTGCAGAAACGAACCCCCTGCTACGAGTAGATACAATCGCATCAGGCCATCATCCCGCACCCGCGCTCATGCAGGAAACAAACAAGACGACTATCATCTGGTTACATCACCTCCTTGCTCTTACCAAACGCAAGCTGGCACTTTCGCCCACCGACACCGTTGCTGGAATCACCAAACCTGGTTATCCGGGTATCATGGTCTTCTCTGGCCCCACCACTGCAGTTGATGACCATGTGAACACTCTCAAAAAGGAGAACTGGCAGGCCTTCCAAGTCCGATACGAACGGGATGTGACATGGAATTTTGGCCATGGCCGGGGGGTGGTTGAAGTGGAAACCATGTCGGAGGTGGTCAAAGATCTGGAGGCGGGGCCTGGACCAGAAGGCAGCCAGCAGAAAGAGGAATTTCTGAGAGCCGTAGGCATAAAGTGAAGAGCAAGGATCATTCCGAGTGATTCCACAGCGTGCTGTCAACTGCGATGCCTTGATAGACCCTCACAATGCTTGCCAGAGGGACGTTATGCCTTCTTGCATGGGTGTGCGACTCTCTGCATTGATCCAAGTGCAGCATCACAACTACACACCATATTGCATCCATGGCAAGTATGTCGTAAATCTTCAGCTACCCTCGAGCAGCCGTTCCAGGCCATCGTAGGGGGTGGTCTCCATGATCACGATGGCAACCACTTGGCCGAAGCAAACATTTCTCAGAATCAATGAATGCTGTGCTCCCAACCCACTCCTCATTTCTCAAACCCTGCAGGCAGACAACGCATCCCGCTTTCTTCCCCACCTTGATCAAACGGTCCCAATTTCCCAGGAAAAGAGTCTTTCAACGTTGAGCATCATGGTGGCTCCCGCGATATGTTCAACCCTAGTACGGCCGGTTGTACGTAGTACCAGACTGCTAGTTAACGTCACCGACATGTGCCGGGCTCGGCCGTTGTGTAACGAAGTACAGACAGATTTTTGGAGCGAGTGAGTGCACGCATCTGCCACGTTCTATCACAGAAGTTCACCGTCTCAACGAAGACAACGATGTAGAGGTGGAAGGACCATTTGTTGGGATGACTGCGCTAAATCTTCATGTTGATCAATAGGTTTCTCTATAGGATGCTGGACGGAAGATGCCATCCAACGATGGAAGATAGATGGGCAAGTATGGACTTATGCCAGGGTTGCAGTCAATCGTGATTTGACAAACGGAGTCTCTACATGGAAGGGCTTGGCCTGTGTCGCGGCCTGGATGATGCATCCGCGCTGCTGCTATGATGGCTTGGTAAATTGGCCAACTGTCAACTTAGTAGACTCTTCAGTGATGGAGCATTCTGTGAGCCCGGAGATGTGTAGCACAGGAGAACCTGGACAGCTACCGTCATCTGGGAGCTTGCACTTGCATGGATAGGAAAACGGTGAACCGACTTGAATGCGACGGATGCTCTGTCACATTTGAACGCACGACATGCGTGCTCCGCCTCGCCTCGCCTTGCCTTTCCTCTGATCTCGCCCAGCTCCGATAGACACAGTGATATTGAGGCGTCTCGATGTACGGAGTCATGCATGGCAAGAAGATGCTGGTCCTCACGATGAGGCTACGGCGCCTAGATATGGCGGCGTTCTTGTGACCATCTGTCCATCGCATCTACTTGTGGAAATAGGGAGAAGGAAGTAGTCCGACTCTTCGATAGTCTGTCGCGCACTCTTTTCGCCATCTAGGGCACGCATCCAGCATGTCGTGGTGGTGGGCGTGGGGAGTCGTCGACTCGATGAGAACGCCATCTGATCCAAAGGCCTAGTGTGAGTATTGGTGCAACGCTCGAGTATGGTTATGCTTGTACGAGTACTAAGAATATATCGTGACGGCGAAATGCAGCGGCCAGCCAGCAATCAACATGGGTTGAGGCGGACACCAAGGTTGCTGAGTGGCACGGCTCTGACCATCGGGCCCGAAAGAGGAGGATCTTCAATGATACGTTTCAGCCCTTGCGACCGAGGGAAGGATGGCTCTTCTGCGTACAGAAACGCTTACCTACATACACAATACATGCCGCTCATCGAGGGAGGACGAGGGAATCCAATGAGGAGATGATAGAGCGCCTTTGCCGCATGAGTGTCAGCAAGCACTCAGGTACCTAGGCAGTTAGCGATAAGGGTGGCATTGGCATTGGCTGTTCAGCACATGATGGACGACCGCTGTGCTTGAGCATGACAAGTGAAAACCCCCACCCAACATGTCACATTATTTTCATTCATCTTTCAGGTGTGCTGAAGAGATCAGAAATGAAAGTGAGGTACTGTGTAGGTATCCGAGCTCGACAAGATGAAACCGTTACCCTGTGCAAGCCATCGAATGATTGAGTGTTGGAGGGCGCTGTCCGACCGCTGTATAGCCGGCCGGCAACAGGCAGCTCAACCAAGGACCAAGAATCCTACTACTACTGTGTACTGTGTATACAATGGCAGGTGCAGGCGACGGGTCATTGTATCGACGATGGAAGATGGGAAGATGCAGGTGTGTTGTTTGGGTGGGTGTTGCCACCTTGGATTACGGGCTTATCTCTTCTGTCTCGGTCCTTCTCCTCGCATACCTACAAACGCCGTCCCGAGTGCAAAATTGTTTGCTTGAAAGTGACTGATGTTGCAGTACAGTATGCACGTTTGAAGGCGACGACATATGTGGGGTTGGGGCTGAGGGGGTCATATTTGGTCCGAATTGGTTGAGATTCCTAAGCTGGCGATTGTACGATGATCAGGGTGATGGTTGCAATTGTGGTGATAGAGTGGTGATGATTTAGAGCGTGTACTGTGTATAGGTGGTTTGTAGTTGTAGCTGGAGTGTAGTTGCAGTGTGCAAGTCAGTCACGGTCGTCGCGGTATGGGAATTAATTAGCGCGTCCGTGACGCGAAAGGTTGCGGGATGCGGGAAGTGACTGGCGACTGGCGACTGGCGACTGGCGACTGGTGACTGACGACTTGAGGATGAGCGGATTGGAGGGTTGGCGGCGGATTGGCGGATTGGAGGGTTGGGTGGGCGGGTTGACGGGAGAGCGCAGCAAGAGGTGTTACTACTTACGACCTCCTACTCCTAGTCACAGCAATTACCAGGGTAGCAATGTAGGTTCTCCGTAACTAGTCACTACATACTACATACATTGACGGATACACACATACTCTCGTTACTCTTTGGGTGAACCTGCGTTGGTTGGTCCAACTCGTCTCTCCTGGTCCTCATCCACATCCTCGTCCTCGTCTTCGTCCTGGTCCTCGGCCTCGTCCTCTTCCTCAACTCGACTTATCCACCTCCCCGAACCTCAAGTTTTGTTTGCTCGCCTTAACGCCAGCTAAACTCTCACACTGTTATATCACCGACCTTCTCCTCTCTTATCCTCTCCTCACCATCTCCTTCATCTCCTCCATTTACCTTTCCTGCCTATCCTCAGACAATCAATCCAAGCTTCTACTTTCTTTCACACACCCACCTGTGCGCCCTCTACTCTCTACTCTCTACCTCAGGTACCTATCTCCTACCACGCACGCCTACCCATACTAACCTTCTCCCCTACAAGCATCTACCGATCTCCGTTGACTTCAATTGCACCACAGCAGCAGCAGCAGCAACAACGAGACCCCGTCCGCGACCGTCGGATCAGGGCCATTCAACAGCATCACTGACCACGAGCTGTGATATGGTCCTGACCTCCTGTCCTCCGCAGTCATCCTGCTCTCGTTTCGTACCCTCGTCCCGATTGCCGCCCGCTACGTACCCGCGCTCTGCTCCACACTCGTCCAAATAAACTGTACCTCGCTCTCTAGCTCTCTCCAGGAGTTTTCTGTCAATACTGTTTCCCCTCCGTTTCCCAATCCCACGTTCTATCGAGCAACCCGGAACGACAATACCTCTTCGCCATGAAGGCCGCACCGCTTCTGGTATCGTGGCACAATGAGAACGCCCCAATCTACTCGGCTCATTTCGAGCCTGGTGGTAAGGGACGTCTAGCTACAGCTGGTGGTGACAACAATGTTCGGGTATGCTCCGGAGACCCCGTGAAGCTGAGACAAACAAACTTGCTGACCTCCCATGCAGCTATGGAAAGTCGAAAACAACGGCGAGGATCGAAAGGTCACATATCTTTCTACCCTCATGAAACACACACAAGCTGTCAATGTGGTCCGATGGTGTCCCAAGGGTACGTATTGGCTCGATAACTCCAAACATTGTAAGCTCCGTGACTGACCCTTCATGTACAGGCGAGGTCCTTGCCAGCGCCGGCGACGATGGGAACATCCTGCTCTGGGTCCCCGCCGAGAACCAAGCTCTCCACCAGAACTTCGGCGAGGAAGGCCTCGAAGACAAGGAGACATGGCGCGTGAAGCACATGTTCGGATCTTTGGGATCTGAAATCTACGACCTGGCCTGGTCACCCGACGGAGTCTTCTTCATCACCGGAAGCATGGACAACGTCGCGAAGATATACAATGCCCAAACAGGTGAGGCTGGTTTTGCGCCGCTCAAGAGAACAACCCGATTCTAACTTGCAATCAGGTGCATGCATTCGTCACATTGCCGAGCACAATCATTACGTCCAGGGGGTAGCATGGGACCCTCTCAACGAATACGTAGCGACACAATCCTCGGATCGTTCAGTGCACATCTACACACTCAAGAATAAGGATGGTCAATTCTCGTTGGCACAGAAGATACACAGGATGGACCTCCCTGCCCGTCGAATCTCGTCCAACAGCCCTGCACCCCCCGACTTTGGCGGCCGAGCTTCGTTCGTTTCCAATGACACCGCTGTTGCAGCTGGTTCGCCCGTACCGTCTGCACCCGGAACACCGCAATCGTTGGCCCTCCCCATGAATCCACCCACATCCCACAGCCGACGCTCCTCCTTCGGATCATCTCCCGCAATGCGCCGATCTGCTTCGCCAGCGCCTTCGATGCCGCTACCAGCGGTCATGCCCAATTCCCCGAGCCTCAACAGCCTCAGCGGCTTGGGTGTCCGGAACGCTCCCATGTACGCAAATGAGACCCTGACGTCGTTTTTCAGACGCCTTGCTTTTGCCCCAGATGGCAGTTTGCTATTCACGCCGGCCGGGCAATATAAGACCGTGCATCCCTCTTTAACAGAAGGCGTCAAGCCAACAGAGGATATCACCAACACAGTCTACATCTACACACGTGCTGGGTTGAACAAACCTCCCGTCGCATATCTCCCCGGGCACAAGAAGCCTTCCGTCGCCGTCCGCTGCTCCCCGGTCTACTACACACTCCGTCAGTCAGCTCAACCCACAAAGCAAATCACTATCGACACCGCTTCCTCCGAGGAAGAAATCCAAGCTTTGCCTGAGCCAGCCATACCGTCCAAGGCACCGACATCACATGCGTCAATGGACCCTCCGCGATTGACGAGTGCTCCATCGCCGTCACCCAGCCTGACCTCTGCCTCCCCGAAGCATATCGATGGCGATGCACCGACGTCCAACGGCCCACCGGCCGGACCCGAATCTGCTTTCAAGCTACCATACCGCATGATCTATGCCGTTGCAACGCAAGACGCGGTTCACATCTATGACACCCAACAACAGAAGCCCCTTTCTGTTGTTAGTAACCTGCACTTTGCCACCTTCACAGACGTCACATGGTAAGTAGACATGTCTTTTCCCGGGTTGCTTCCACACTAACATGTCTCAGGTCTTCTGATGGATCGACACTTCTGATGAGTTCGTCAGATGGATTCTGCTCCGCTCTCTCCTTTGCGCCAGGCGAATTGGGAGAGAAGTATACAGGACCATTGCCGACACAGACTCGGACACACCACACTCCTTCGACCATCAACACCACGACGTCCCAGTCTTCTGCCCAGTCCACACCCATGGTTACGCCCACCGCATCCAGCGTGCCTCCTACAAGTTCGACCCCTCAGCCCAAACACCCCGCTGCCGGCATTACGGCGGCATCAAGCTCATTTATACCAGCACGGTCCGGCAGCCCTACCAGAAGCAATTCTGTCTCGAGCATTGCCACCGCCTCTTCGTTTGCTGCTCCCTCACTTGGGGATCAAAGCAACATGAATGCTCCGACGCCTGCCATGTCTCAAGTCCCTGGGATAACAGCGACCAATTCAGGTCCCGTGCCGATGTGGACTCCACCTATGACGCCTGCCCAAGGCGGCACGCATAGTGCAAGCAGCTCTGTCAGCGTCGTTTACGGACGCCGCTCGAGCGAATCGGAGCGAGAGGATGGTGTGAGCAGCAGGAAACGAGACCTGCAAGTGGTGCTAGAAGCTGAGGAAGGCCGCGAGGGCAAGAAGAGGAGGAGGGTTGCACCCACCCCAGTGATCTTTGGGAGCGGCACCGATGCTGACCATGCAATTGCCTCGACTGAAGAGAACACACCAACCCAGACACCAACGCGGTAACTTGTTCAGCAGGATCATTATGGTTCTGTTGTTGTGGATTCAAAACATTTCAGTAATCGGTTTTCACCCCGGCGTTAGTATTTCACGATTTACTTGGTTCGCAGGAGTTGGGCAAATACCCCCCAACTGCACAAGGTATATATTTCTTAAATGTTCAATCTTCCTGGTTTCATCCTTGTGGATACATTTCATTTTTTTTTTCCTTCAAGAAAAGAGGAGAGGCGGTGCGTGGCGCGTGTGGGTTGTGAGGCGGTAGCACGCATCGCACGAGTTACGGCGTTATGTGATATGAGTACACAAACAGGCCTGATGTGATGTTGCATCACGCAATTTCGGTGCAGATCGTTCCCACAGTGTTACGAGGAGTGGAGTTTGATTTGGTTCTCCTTGTTTGACTGCGTACGGTACATTAAGTAGAAGCTAGCCCCGAACATAATCCATCTCCAGTATTAGGTACCTATGTACTCAAGTTGCTTGAACGAATCCCAACCAGTCCAGACCAAGACCCCAATTGCTAATGAATGGATGTTCCAAGACGAATGGACGATGCGCTAAACTTGGGGGGATTGCGATTGAACCACGGCTTCACAGACGTCTCCAGCGGTTGTTCGTTGTTTTTGCGGTGTCCAAGTAATGCCACTAAATTCCGTAGCAACTGAACAAAGTGGTACATCGGCACACTGCTAAGCTACTAGAGGCTGGAGCAATCGTTGCAGACGGGAAAGTGGCTGGGCGGCCGAGCATCTACCAGCATCTACAGGCAAAAGGCCTCCAGGATGATGATCCCCTCATGTCCATCATCCCCGACTGGCCAATAACAGACCCTCCACGTGCGAGTATGCCGGCTTCTCTCAGTGGTTGTGGATACTTCGTACCTCAACCTTCCCAACTTACCCTTACCTAGGTACGAGTAACTACTACCTACCTTGTGTTTGATGTCGCCTCTCGATTCCTTGCAACTTTAAAAGGCACCGTTACATCCCAATTTCCTCCTGTCCTCGATATGGGATGCCTCCTGCTTTTTACTCGCTTTCCTTTCACTCGCCCCCTTCTGCGCGTCTGCGAAACTCCCAGGTGCAATCAATCCTATTAGACGAGAATCTACCATACGACGCGTTTGGCGCACCATACTCCGTACACAGACTCGAGTCACCTCCCGAGAAGCGCCTACTACGTCATCTTGCCTACCAGACAGGTATTGGAGATAGCTGTATCCTTCCTTCTACTCGACTGCTATTACAACATACATGAACACAAAATCATCATCAACAATCGCTTTTTGCTCCTGTACACAGTAGTACGCAAGTCGTCATCTCGGCCCGAAAGCGACTCGCAGTAGAATACAATGGCGTCCGAACACTTAGATGACAAAAAGGTCTCTCCGGCGCAGGATGTCGACCCCGAAAGGCTGTCAGAGGACAACACCTCGATTGGCAAGGGCGACATTCTACAGCAGGAACATACAGATCCTGTGTTAAACGCCAAGATGCATCTGATTAACAATGTCAGTCTTCACAATTGACTGGCTGCGATCGCGCCTTTATTGAACACTTTCATGAACTTCCTAGTCGGCTCCGCAACGAAGCATACCCGGGGCGTGAGTCGACGTCATGGGAGGGAATACTGATTATGTTAGGCAATTGATGAGATTGGATTCACAGGGTATCAGGTCAAGCTATTCATCCTCAATGGCTTTGGGTGAGTAGCTGTTTACCCACTTTTCCAACCCTGTTCCGTTCCGATTCCGAGGCCTTACTCATGTCCCCTCACTCGGAACTACCGCTCCAACAGCATCCACTGACCGCAATCCAGATATGCAGTCGACTCCCTTATCCTGCTGATCCAATCCATCATCGCGGGCCAAGCTGGCCTTGAATTCAATCCCGGCTATCCTGCCGGCCTCACGATCGCAGCCTACGTGGGCATGCTCGTTGGTGCTCTTTTCTGGGGACTGACAGCCGACGTGATTGGTCGCAAGTTTGCCTTCAACGTATCTCTCATGATATGCTCCATCTTTGCCATTGTAGCGGGCGCCAGTCCAAATTGGATCGTGCTTGGGCTTTTCGTCTGCCTGTCCTCTTTTGGTGCAGGTGGCAATCTAGTATTGGACACAGCCGTGTTTCTCGAGTATCTGCCAGGCAAAGATCAATGGCTTCTCACGCTTATGGCGGCTTGGTGGGGTACGTTAGGCCACTTGAACCACCATGATATAACATGTGCTCATCTTAAACTTTAGGTCTCGGGCAGTTGGTGGCCGGGTTTCTTGCCTGGGGATTCCTCCCTTCCTACAGTTGCGACGACCCATCGCTTGTTGAAGGTGCACCACCTTGCACCAAGGAAAACAATCAAGGTTGGCGATACGTATGGTACACGGCCGGCGCTCTTGTCTTCGTGATGTCTATTGCTCGTATCACCGTCATTCGCTTGAAGGAGACTCCCAAATTTCTTGTTGGGGAAGGCAGAGATGCAGAATGTGTCGAAACCCTCCAGATGATTGCCCAGAAGTACAATCGCACCTGTTCGCTCACCCTCGAACAAATGCAAGCCTGCGGTACCATCAATTCGGATCGCCGGGGTTCCGCAACACACGCGGTCAAGTCGAAGTGGTCGCTGGGGGAGATTGGCGTTCATCTGAAGGGCCTCTATGCTACGAAGCGCATCGGAATCTCCACGACGTTGATCTGGTTTTCCTGGACCCTTATCGGCCTTGCGTACCCGCTCTACAATGTCTTCCTCCCAGCCTACCTATCGTCGCGCGGCGCATCGTTCGGCGAAGCTTCGCCATACATCACCTGGCGCAATTACACACTGGTCAATTTCTCTGGCATCTGGGGTCCTGTCCTCGCGGGCTATATGTGCGCGACTCGGCTTGGACGCAAGTACACCATGGTCATTGGCGCTTTGATCACCATGGCATTTTTCTTTGCCTACACGCAGGTTAGGACCAATGTCCAGAATATTGTATTCACCTGCGTGATCAATTTCTGCCTGAACATCTATTATGGGACCTTGTATGTTAACATATTCGAAAGGAGAAGAGAGAGGAAAGGTTACTGATCTATCTAGATATGCGTATACCCCCGAGGTGTTGCCAAGTGCACATAGAGGCACTGGTAATGGAATTGCTATTGGGTGGAACAGAGTTATGGGCATCTTGAGCGCCGTCATTGCGACGGTGGCTGATGTGAGTAATCCAATCTTAGCCATCTTCCCAGGTCCGAGCTAATGACTGACATGTCAATAGACATCGACTCCCGTTCCCATCTACATTTGTGCAGCACTATACATTGTCATGGCCGGCGTTGCAGCTATCTTCCCATTTGAGCCTTATGGAAAGAGGAGTTCGTAAAACATGCGACTTCTCTAGCGAGAACAGCGAGGATCGTGTAGAAGATGTACACAAGCTCTACTTTGAGCGGGATTGAAGATATATGGAACATGACTAATGTTGATTTAAGAGAAAGAGGGGGCCATTGCAACAAGAGCGAGGAGACATTCCGATGGTTAAGGATGGAACGATTGGTCATCGTTGACGGCGGTGTTCATCCCACCGATAGAAACGGTACGGTATAGAGGGACCACTCTTTTAGGAGTACATACATGCAGTTCCTAAATATCTTGGCATTGTTCCAAATTTCTATAACAACAGAAAAGCGTTAATTATTGACCGGAACGATTATGTATGGAAGGTAATCTATCTCGAATGGCAACGTTCAGACATACGCCTTGAGGCACACTGTGCTACGTGAGGACTGTTTTCGCACCCTCAGCTGAAGCCGAAGGAGGTTTAGAAAACCCGCGCAATCGCAAGTAATTGCTGTCCCCAGAGAAACCCATGAGACTTGAAGCATGGAACCGAGATGTTCTGGGCCTCTGTTGTCGCCATGTCGCCGCCCCTCGATAAACGAGCTCGTTCTGCATCTCCATGCCAGCCCGTTCGTCGCAGCATGTGCCCCTGCACCCTACGGCGGTTGTGGACGACTGCACAACAGATGGAACAACGAAATTGCGGTGCCCGATCCATGGGATTCTAGATTTCAGCATATGATAAGTGCTATGTCGAGAATGATTCCTCTGCTCCCTGTTCTGTGTGACCTATTTAGCTACCTGTTGCCATTGAGCAAGAGGACTTCCTACAGCTTAGTGTACTCTGACCATGATGAGAAATTCAAAAGAATAATGGGTCGCTGCGTACGGCGTAGAAAACCCCATAACATACTCGTACCTATATCAGAGTAGCAGCATCATCTTGCAGCGTCTATCGTGCAAGCGAGGCGGTACACCCCAAGCCCCCGACCCGTTGATCTCTTTAGTTGCCAGCCTGGGTTTTGAGTGCCTGTCGTGCTCGTAGGGTTTGACCAACAACAGTCGTCGATGCCTCTATTCAAGGTCCGTGGCAGTTGACTGGCTCCTTCGGGCTTCTTTTAGACTTTCGACCTCCGAAGATCTAGACTTGTGAGGACAAGCGACGACCCAGTCACCCGCTCATTGTTCGCCCTCAGCCCTACCAAGGCCTAGATTCCCCCCCCTCCTGCTCTCCCCCTACCCCACCTAATCATGCCGCCCATGCATGTCTCTATGATGCCAGCCCAGTCCATCAAAACCCAAGGAACAATCAAGGCAGGCAGCGTCTTTGCCGATAGGCAGAAGTCGAAAAGATCGTCGCTGCACGCTCATCTTCCTGAAAGCTGGCGCTGGCACGGATTTCCTCGTAGCGAGGAGGGCGAGCGAGAGAGGCAAAAGATGGACAGCCATGCGTCGCTTGCATGCCATTGCGCGAATGGGCATTGTCGGTGTGGATGAACCGTACAAGCGAAATGCAATAACAGCTCGCACTTCGTACTCCGTACTCGGATACAAAGTAGATGCAGTCTCCTCGCTTAGGAAGTACATGTACATACATAGTAACAAAGGCAAGCTGGCCATGCGATAGGCTCGCATTTTGACAATACATATTGAGCACAAAGGGAGGCACGGGAGACACTGGATGTCCTTTCCTGTACAGACTATACTGGGAGAGTGAAGGCCTTCAGATAGATTGCGCTTCCAATAATGAATTGGGGACAACGAGCATGCCAGCCCAGCACTTTCCCATACAGCGCCTCCAGTGTCCCCTCGCTCCTCTCTCCCTCCCTCTCGCTCTCCCTGACTACTCTGACCAAAGAGACGCTCACCTCACACTCATGCTCACACCCAACCTTGGCCGCGTGAACATGTAATACCAATGGTTCACTTGGCAGAGACGCCCCGTCTGACACTGACCACAGCAGCAAGTGTCAGCTTTCTCTTCGTTAGTCTCAACTCTTCCCGTAGTCGTCGTGTAACAGCAGAAAAGTAATCTGACGCCTTCCCATGCCTCAGACGAAACACACATGCACATATGTAAATTAGCCATGCCAATCCGTGATGGCAAGATAGATAGTCGACAGAACGGACATCACGGTGTTGTTCGGTCCAAAAGAATCAGAGCAACCCGCCCATCGTCAGCTGCCGCCTTTCCGACCCCTACCTTGGCCATCTTGAGGAGACGAGGTAGGTCTCTCGTTTTATTATGGCTCGGCTAGGTAGGTAATAGATGATTATCTGTACATACATACTGCGCAGATGGCATGATGCCCTTACCTTGGTTATCTGTACTCTATCTTATCTCTGCGGAGGCATTCATTTCGATTTGCAACGTATTGACAACGTATCTACTCTGCTGTAGTGCACTTTCCTACCGAGCCCAGACGCGTGAGGCTTGAAATGGGAGCAGCAGACGACGCAATAATATAAAATCGCTCACTTAGGACTGCCCATCCCTCTGCAGGCGACTAGAACGTTCTTCTTTCCCTTCTCACTCCTTCACTCTTTGTTCGACTCGATCCAGGGTGCGCTGGCAAGTTTGGACAGTTTCAATGCTCCGTCCACCCATCGTCTACCCATATTCAGCCGTGGAAGATCCATGAGCCACGGCCATTACCAGGCTCGCGGGGACCGCGAACGCTTGTCGCCGATCGCTCCCCCCGACACGACACTGCACCCTGCCATTCAACGGGGGTACGCCGTACGGTACGCTCGTGGTACCGCGGGTAAGGTAGGAGTATCGAAGACCAAGTGCAAATATACCCAAGCGATCGACAAGAGAAGAAGACGCACGTTTGCACACCGTGCGTCATCCTTGTCATCGTCATCGTCGAAAGGACTACCAGCAAGCAGAATCAAGTAGCTATTGTGCTTTGTCGTGGGTCTTATTGCACTGCACTGTCCATGAGGTAACTAACTATCTCACACTGTTGTCTGATATTAACTGGATGAGAACCACAGACTTGGTAGTAGGCATTGCAGAAAAGACGAACGAACAGAAAGAGGAATGCTCTTCCTATTATTACCTGATTCGGGCTTAACCCAAGCTTGCGAACCAACCAACCGACCAATCAGGACTAACGGTCCGGGATACCAAAACAGAAACAAGGAATGAAAGAGAACCTAATCCTTTGCCCATTTCGAACACGGAGACGCATGCGGAAGTGCATTCATTCGTTCGTTTCTTCGGCTCTTCGTTTCTTCGTTCAGTACTGTTCCCCATAGTCGTGTCTTTGGCTTGGTAGATGTCTACAGAGGCCGACAAGAAGTAATTTGCCTTCGCTTTTACTTAGGCAGTGAATCAGTAGATGACTTGAAAACGTGAGGGCGACCGCCATTGCAGCGTGTATAGGTATAGGTAGAGTAGACCTGGCTGTCACACTCGTTTGGCGTCGGCGTTACCTTGCACCTTGAAACAGACACATGCATGCACCCACACAAGTTGGAGACAAAGATCTGTCTGCTGCAGTCCGTGGTGCGATGACGATGCGGTACGAGCCAGAGTCGTGTCGCCCGGGCTGGTCAGGTACAAGAGACATACGTTTGGACTCTTTCGTCGAGAAGGACAGGGTGCTTGCTGTTTCGTTCTCTTCCTTCAGGTTGTGATGTAAATTGATTCAGATTGGATAAGAGACATGGCGTGTTTCTCTTAGACTCACGGATGCGGTGCGGTACTTACGATACTTATTTCCTTCCTCAATCAGCGCTCACACCATGTCTGATGTCAGTGCTTTTAGTAGTGGTAGCAATCGCGATTTGATGATCGTCGCATTATCACTCGCAGCAAAGTAGGTCTCTCGGGTGGCTTTAGGATTACTATGCGAAACCTCGCACAGTCGTAACTTGGATTGCGATGGAACCGAATATTGTTCGGCAGCCCTCGCGACGCTCTATCTACGATAACTACACCCACATTGTGTGTGTTCCTCCACCTACAGCGTAATGCGCGCCAGGAAATGCAATCAACGAACGGTTCATCCGTCCAGGCCTAGTCTCTCGGTCCACTCCTCTGGCAAGGGACAGGAGAACGTGGGTATCATATATAAATCAGTGATTCCCCCAATGCTGAGTCGGAAAAGAAACTGAAGAAAAAGGAAAGGGATTGGGAATGCATGTGACGCCGGGGAAGGGAACGATTTATCCTCCCAGTTCCATGCTATGCTGTTTGCCTGCCTGGATGTAAAGACACCCGAATAAAACAAGAGAAATTCAAGAAAAAAATCAACTCCATCTCTTCCTATGGGCATTGATGAAACTCCGATGTTGTGCAATGAACAGAAGAAAATGGGTCGTGTATGGATCTGCAGCTGTCACGGCGACGCCGCTGCCAGATTCATGGGCTGGAGCGCTGCAGCCGAGAGCCAGGCTCCCGGTGCGGCGATCTTCTGGCGATCACTGTGTACCGGGGGACCGCCCGGGCGCATCAACTCCTCAGACCAGGAGCCCAACACCAAACACAACTGCGCTCAGGCCACTGTTTCCTGCATTCTCGTCGCTGGACCTCCGTTTTCCGAGGGCCGTGAGCCTGCGCGCTGCATCCGCCTTAGCCTGCGTGGCGACCGTTGGCGAGGGCGGCGCGGAAGAAGACGCAGACCGAATCGCATCAGCTTCATCCTGCGAGTCCACGGCCGTGCTCTCGGTAGAAGTGGGAGCCAGCTCCGCCGCATCGAAGCTCAAGAATGAGTTGTCGCTGATTGCTCGCACCGGCGAGACGGGTCTCTCTAGAACCAGCGGAGCAGGTACGGGTCTGGGTTCCACGATTTCGACGGCCGGGGCAAGCGTCTTCGTCTGCTTGGGGAAATTATGCACGTCGTAGCGCGGTGGGTGGGGAATGTATTCCGTCAGAATGCGTTCCTTAACGTTGATGCGCATGCGGCGCCCCCCGCTGTAGACCACGTCACTCACACGGGGAGAGGATGCCAGCAAGGATGGGGCGCAGCGGCGACGATAACGTAGACTCTGCGAATGGCTGTGTCGGTGGGGAGGGCTCGACTTTGGATCCTGAGAGTCGCTGGTAGTGACGCTCGATGAAGGGCGCTCATCGGAATCCCCGTCACGGGATGAGGTGCGACGGGCGGTGGGATAGCGAGCATCGTCCGGATCCAGGTCATCGGTTTCTGGGTCTAGTATCGGGTTCGATGCAGCTGCCTGCTCCGTAACCTCTTGCACAATCGGGCGGTCTGCTGCGGGAGCGTCGGCCGCGAGGTGAGGGTAGAGTTGGCGGAAGATACGCTCTTGCTCGGCGATGAATCTCCTGCCAGCCTCGACGTTTGAAAGGTTGTCGAGATCAACGCCCGTTGCGCGGGAGGAGCTCTCGACCTGGCGCTGTCGCCGGGTCCTCCTGGGCAGACTCCTGTAGCGGGGCTCGCTGCGGTCCTCTATCGGAAGGCTGATGTCAATGGCAGCACACAGATTCTCGACCCAATCGAGCATCTGAAGCTGGGTTGGAGCGCACATGAGGAATTGCTCCGTCTCCAGTCGTAGGCGAATCACATGTTCCCGTACAGGTTCGAAGAGGTGCGGATCCGTGTCGTATAATTTCTGGCGGGCAGATGTGGGGACCAGGTGAGCGAAGGGGGATTTTGGAATGAGGGCGGTCTTCTTGAAATCTGCGGCCACGCCGACTTCCGCATGCTGCAGCGTGTAGGAGCGGATCAGTCGACCTGGAACGATGTTTTTGTTCTTACTGAGAAGATGGGGCAATTTGGGTCGGTGCAGATTCAGCTGGGTGCCTTGTAGCACAACGTAATAATCCACCCATTCGCGGTCCGAGGCGATCTGGAAGGGAGACACTAGCTCTTGCTTCAAGCTCAACAGCGCCGAGATTTCGACAGTGCACGAGTAAGATGGAATGGAGAGCGAGGTTGCAGCGCGCTCAGCACGTGCAATAGAATCGAGACGGGCCAAAGTTTGTCGGCTGTTGGCGCAGGCATAATTGGGTGGAGGACTGTCGACAGGGATCTGCGCGTGGGTGTGGAAAGTGTTGTGGTAACCGTAGACGGGCGGAGTGCGGTCCGACGACGACGACGACGACGAGTTTGAGGAATTGTTATTGTTACCGTGGCGTTGACTGCGCTGAGCGTTTCGAGAGGTGTTGGATGATGTATTCGCTGTGCCATCCGCAGGCGATGAGTCCGCATGGCCAGGCATGGTTGCGGTTCTTTATTGCATGAATTCCACGGACGAGTTGGTTGGGTTGGCGTATCCGGTTGGTTGGGGAGGGTGTGGGCCAGGAATAGGATGGAATGGTATGGTATGGTCGAGTATGGCGGAGGTGCTGTAATATAGGTAGATTTGTCGGTCGGCGAAGATAACAGGAAAAGAAACTGAGGAGAGAAAAAAGAAGTATGGATTGGGTTGGGATAGTTTGAGTTGAAGATTCAAAGCTTAAGCTTAGGCTTTGAGAGGCCGGAAGAGGCGTTGCGGTGTGGGCGCCTGGGCTT